CTTCATCCTTACATATTTCCATTCAGACTAGTCCAGACTCGTCCACTATATAAGGCTACAGCTGGTTGTATACTCGTCCCAGACGCCCTTAATTTTTCATTCATAAACCATTTTCGGACGAGCGACAGGGACACTCGTCACGACTACTCTTATTAGATTTTATGACTAGTCGTCAATCAGAGTACTAGAACGCGTATGCTTGACGGTCAAAACCTCGGACTAGTCCCAGACGAGGACTTTTTGAGACAAAGACGAGTCGAGACGGGGCGACACGACTAGAAAAAAGGCTAGTCATTTAACCAGTCTTTTGCTCACTTGGGTCTGAAATATTGATTTTATGATTATGATCGAAAGAATGTACCATTTATTTGCTTAATATTTATATTAATATGAAATCACTTTTCTTCAACAAGAATAATATACAATTGTCTAATGCACTAATAGTATCATAATGAAAAACGCATTTAAAAGATATGAAAGCTAGACATTCGGATACGTATGGAATAAATTTTCTACATTTTATATTTCAATTGTTACATTTGTCGATATTTTAAATAAATATTACGGATGTGTTTAACTGAATATATTGAATAAAATGCTAACATCATAAAAGAGAATATTGACGTTCGAATATCGTTAGTTTTGGTACTTATTGATCGTATAGTTCTACGATTGATCTAGCACGTATATCACTTTATGTAAATAAGATGAAAGGTATCGCTATCAACCATAAAGATATAGTTAGTGGAAGTGGAACTACTGTTGTCTAGTTTCTTAGTTTTCTTTGTCACAATAGATAAAAAGAATTTAAAGTGTGAATCTTTGCACTGAAATAAAATCCGTGTGATAGAATAAGTCTAAACCGTTATGTGAATAAATATCGAATTCATAATTCAGGTGAGGCTGAGCCTCTACACGCTAAAAACAGGTCAGACTCAAGCCTCACGAACCTTCACGTTCCGCCGCCTATGTGTTTTACCACAATATGCTAGAGACTATGGAGTTCCTAAAACATCAACTACCATACAAGGTTTCATAATCTGTAACAAAAATATCTTTCTGAACCAATTTTAGCATAAGAACGCCCAGGTTGAGCATTGCGACGACTAGATACGGCCGTAAACGGCCGTTTACCATGACGTATACGGTCGTATTCGCGGAATTTACGACCGTATACAAGCCGTATTACGGCCGTATATTGCTGTGTCGTATACAGTAGTACACACCAACCGTTTAGAAGCCGTGTCCAGCTGTATACGGTCGTATCATCAACAGGAAACGACCAAACATTGCAGCGTATACGACCTTAACGATATCGTAACCGACCGTTTACGGCCGTAACTCTGAACAAAACAAAATGCATTCGTAAACCCCTCGGAACGATAGTGAGCACGCGACAGAAATCAATTATACTACATTTTCATACAAAACACATTAAACGATCCAAGCAGCCAAGCAGAGTCCTCCAGATCACCACCGAAAATCATAAAATCAGACTTCAGACATATCTTTTTGGAGCACTCCCTATACCCTAGCACGCTCGCAAGCACCTACAGTTGACTCCATGTGATTTTCCGTGTATCCTCAAGCACGGATCATGAGAAATCTGAAAATACAAAAAGCATCAAAGAAATCCTGCTAAAATCACCTTTTGAAGGAAGGATTAGTCAAGATGATGAGAAAAAATACGAAAAATCTGATATAGCGTAATAAAAGTAATAGCACGCATGGAAATCGGTGAAAAAAATTAGAAGAATCACTAAAATTTCCTTTATGTTTGATACGAAATTTGATCTTTCCGATCGTAGATATACCTTTAAAGATTTTTTTTATTATTTCAGCGGATTTATGGTGTAGGGTTCAACTGGAATTCAATATAGAATTATGTTGAGTATAGATCAGCTTCAAAGTTCAACTCGGTTATAAAGGAAAACGATGTTTTTGTTCGATTTAATGCGTAAAATGCTGCAATTTCCTGATCTTTGGGACATAAGGGTTTTAGATATCATATGGAATCTATGAATTCTGCTGCTTCGAATGAATATGATTTCTGAAATGTTCTACATTCAGGCAATTGTAGTTTATGATTTTGATACTGAAACGATTTTTGCTCGAAGTCTGGTTTTTGGTAGAAAACGGCTTCGAAGAACGTTAGATCCGGGGTGGCATCGGATTGAGGCAGAAATAGCTTGGTATAGGTGAATTGGAAGAGTTGGCGAGGTTGATAAACGATTTCGTGGACTTAGTAATATTTACTAGAAAGGCGGGGCATGTCATGTCTTCTGTCCTTACCCATAACGTTTTAGATGCAGAGATCCTGCTTTTGAATTTTTTCAGTGAAAGTGTTCCGTAACTGATTTGCTTTGTCGCAGATGCTCAATTAAGGATGGAAACAGATGACTCATAATACTTCTTTTTGATAAAAGATGAAAGACTGAAGAATCCGTAAAATGTGTCAGAAATCATAAGGAGAAATCATTGAAATAATAAAAGAGCACTGATGTTCTTGTGGTGTATCAAGTTTTGGTTTCTGAATAAATTTTTTGTATAATTGTGTTGATAGAGAGTAGGCTTTAACGTTATTCAATATAGTAGCCAGACCTTGTATCACTTTTGCGCTGCAACATTGACAATGATTAATCAGTTCAGGCAGTATTTCTTGATGTTTCTATGATTTTTTCATCTTAACTATTTAAGTTTCGAGTAGGGATATGCCTGACGTGACAGGCTTGTAAAAATAGTGAGACTCTTCACGATAAAACGATTGACGGACATTGTTGTCATATAAGCTGGAATGAATTATATCCATAGTAAGCTCTATAGTTCGTGATTTATGAGCTGATTTATGAGAATGGTCCGGGATATTTCAGAACTTCACCACCGAATTTCGAAGTTTTCTGCGCAATAGAGAGTTGTGGCTGTGTTATGGTTTATTTTGATATTCTACCTGCATATTCCCCGTGATTAGAACTGAGAAAAAAATCGCATTTAAATGATTTTGGTGACATGAAAAGTGGTGAAAATTAAAGTATTTCTGTCTGATGGAAAATAAAATTGATATCAAAACTAGTTAAATTTCTGATGACAGATTTAATCAGATTGTTCGATTTTTGAAGGTTTGAATCCTTCTAATAGGAGTTTCTTTCATTAAAATCTGTTCAATTTTTTCTTGGAATTAATAGTGTTGATTTCTGATTAAAAACCGGATTTCAGTTGATGTAATGTTCAAAATTTATACGAACTCCATTATTTTTTGAAAAACGATACTTGAAGGAATATAAGATTGTGATACTCTCTTGATAGAAAAAATCGTGATTTTCAGACGTTCGTGAAGTTAGCATCAGATTCGAGTGAAACCTTTTTTTTTTTCTTTTGAGCTATCGTTCCAACACGCATACTCATGTTCCTAGTAGAATTTCTTATGCTCTATCGAATGGTATACTTGGATTAACTTGATGCCGACGCGTTCTCCTGAATTTTCGAAAAAATCTAAAAAATCCTAGAATTTGTTTTGTAAAATCAGATTTTTCATCTTGCTGAAAACGGCCCCGATAATCTCAAAATACTGTTTTTTTCCTATGAAATTCTAGGACCACACTCGCCAAAGTCGTTGTTCTGATTACTCCAATCATGATCGAAACACAACTTGAGTAGATCTATTCAATGATTTCGGCAGGTTTTTCATAGCTCAAAGTAGGATCTTCTGGGATCTCTTCAGTATTATCTTATCAGCGGTGAAGTCTAAGCTTGAGCTACGGAAAATACGTGAACATGACTGGGTAGAGTTCGTCGAGTTCTACTTGAAGCATAGGTACGCGAATTGGAACATCGGCCGAAGTGACTATGGGCAGATTTTACAAAAAAAAGCATTTCAGGATTTTTGGATTTTTCGAAGTTTCAGGAGAATGATTTCAGTCTAGTTAAGGGGGGCCACCCCCCCCCTCAGGAATCGTTTTTCGTTATTGCTGGACTGATCTGGATGAAACTTTCAGCCAGTGTGTGTGTTATGTTGACTTAGTTTCTTGCAAATTTTTGGCTCATAAAGTTTTTGCTTCAAAGAGTTATTGACAAATTAGTCCCCAAAATGGTGGTTCTCGTAAGGTACCGATTTTTCGAACTACCAAAGACGTAGAGAGCTACTTTTTTTAAATAGAAGAAGAAACCTATGTCTAGAAATGTACATACCGTTTTTCGAAATTCGATTTTGTTGGGATATCCGAGACATTCTACTGCAAGAACTCGGAATTTATCGCTTTTTCACATCAGTGCTATCCAGTTATCTCGGCAAAGAAATCGAATTTCCAAAAACGCTATGAACATTTCTAGATATAAGCCTCTTCTTTTATTTAAAAAAATAGTAGCTCGCTAGCTCTTATACAGTCTGAGAAATCAGGTTCCAAACTCACCAAAAATGTGATTTTGAGAAAACCAATCAACAAGTTGTATGAAACAATTTTTTATTTCACTATGACTGCCACGACCTCTACACGGCAATTTCGTCATGTACACAGGATTTCAAACTGTTAGGATCCGTTACAATCGAGACGATGAAAAGAAGGAAATCGGGTTAGGCTCTCCTCGAGTTACAGTCGTTCGACCACCTTTTTTATTGAAAACAAACAACACTAGAACAACTCTTTTATCAGAGAGAGAAGAGAGAGAAGGCAAGAAGAAGAAGAAGAAAAAAGGAGGATCGTCCATCTATATAACATATATAGATGGCAGATCCTAACACCTCCCCCCACAGTACAGGTCAAGCAAATAAAGCTAAAAGCTTGCTTGACCGACACCACACCACCAGGATCAAACGTCCGGTTCAGAAACCAATAAATGTTCCAAATGTTGTTACAAAGTTTTGCGTCGAAACCTATTTTAATTTTGAGTAAGATCATTGGTGTTGTTGTTGTAATGTTAGTTTGACGACGTATTTCAGTTATCATGGATTCATTATGCATATTTAATGAATATTATGTCCCAATAAATACAGTATCAATTGCGATAATGGAATCATAATTTTTCATGCCAAAATTTTTAAAAACATCAAGATCATCGGAAATAACATTAATATCATCCGACATTAATTTTTCCAAATTTAAAACATTAAATGATTCATCATGAACTGGAACGGAATTAACGTTTTGTGCTTTAATAGTTGATGTTTCACGTTTGTCTTCGCTGTTTAATGTGTCTTCTTTTATTTCAAAATCTATTTGATTCATGGCTGAGAAGTGTTGAGGAACTGGTGGAACAAGATCAGCTTTAACAGATCCAATAACCATATTAGTATCTTCAGTAATAATATTTGTCGTTGTTGCATTATTCTTTTTATTTGCTGTTGAATGGATAGTAGATCGATTTTGTTCATTTAAGCGAGAAATTGGTGTAGTTGTATTCTTTTTTTCTTGGTGTAATTTCATAAATTCAAAACCATAATTTGTAGTATTTTCGTTAATACCATGTTCAAAATGGCATAATTCGTCAAATAAATGATCATCATTTCTGGATGATCTGAAGATTTTTATAAATTTTTCTATAAAAACTGCCCATGTTAAAAATAAATGTTTATTATCTAAAAACCATTCAAATGCATCGCCTTCTAAACATAGAGAGATATAAAATAATTTTTCTGCATCTGTCAATTTTAACATATTCATTGCTTCTTGAATTTCCCCTAGCCATTTGGATAAACTTTGGTTTAATTTACCATCGAATTTTGGTAATTTTTCAATATGACTTAATAATAATTGACTGCGTAATGAACCAAATACATCGTCTTGATTTAAATTGGACATTTGTACGTTATTATTATTTGTTGTAATTTTTATCTCTTCATTTCTTTTGGTAGAAAACCGTTGTAAAAATAAATTTGTGAATGCTATAAACGTTGGCATAACATTTGCACTTCGTGCATACCAAATAAATGCTTCATTCGATAATACATTAGGTATCCATATAATACGTTCGGCCATGTTCACTCCTAATGAATCGAATTTATCTAACAAATACATCAACCATTGTTCAGCATCACCATTTCCATTAAATTTTTGAAACGTTCGTAGTTTTCCTTCGATAACCTCTTGATGTGACAATTGTGACTGTGTAGACTGATCATTTACTACATGACCGTCCACTTCAGCCACATTTGCATCAAGTGTCTCTTCGGTACTTTTACCTTCGTCTTTTGTTAAGACATTTGAAGTTTGTGAAGTCGACATACTTCGATTATTTGTTGATTTGGGCAATGGAATATATTGTAAATTATCTATTTTAATATGTGAATAATCAATTGTAGAACGAGTGGTTCTTCCTTTCATTAATAAATGTTGCTCAGCTTGCCACGCGGGTAATTTTTAATTAATAAATTCTTTTTGGACTTGATTTTTTTTTCAAATAATAACAACAATAATAATAAATAAAAAAAAATATATTTAGGAGAAAACCGGCTAGTGTACCATTGTTAGGATCCGTTACAATCGAGACGATGAAAAGAAGGAAATCGGGTTAGGCTCTCTTCGAGTTACAGTCGTTCGACCACCTTTTTTATTGAAGATAAACAACAACTAGAACAACTCTTTTATCAGAGAGAGAAGAGAGAGAAGGCAAGAAGAAGAAGAAGAAAAAAGGAGGATCGTCCATCTATATAACATATATAGATGTCAGATCCTAACACATATTTTAGCCACAAAGGTGCTGCACTAAGAAGCTTTTTTGGTATATACAGTGTTAAACACTAAAATTTCAGTAAAATGCCTATAATTCGGGATAGGAGACCTATGGGCATTTGTCCTTTTGAGGTTTTTTATACGTCAATAGGATCTACCAAATGCATGAAGTCCGACCTGAAAAAAGATTTATCAGTTGGATAGTTTCCCCGGAAGTATCCTTCTTGCTCTTAGAGTTGCTGAATTAGCTGAAAAATCTACACTAACTTTTTGCTTTATTTCAAACTCGCTCGATCGAATGTAAAGTGTGCTGTTGCACGCAACACTGAAACGAGTTGGTTTTGCCGTTCTTACTCAAGGTTTTTTCTCCTTCAACAAAATTCTGCTGTTGTTTTATTTTCCTGTGTAATTACCATATCGCTGCAGAAACAGAGAAACCTTTTCTGCACGGGAGCAGTCACATTTTTTAAAAACATTATTTGCTATTTACGAGGCTAGCATAATATTATGCTGAAATTCGCGGAAAATCAGTGAAAAGTATGCAAACTGTTTTTTGCTTGTTAGTTGTACTGAAGCAAGTGCTTCATAATCTTACCCATCCCATTCTGACACATTCTCTACAGTTCGATGCAAGTATTTAGGTAGTGAATTTCGTTTAGTGGTTTTCAGTATTAGTGGTAGTCTCGTTTATTAGAGAACCGACGCTGAGAAATTATGAAGCCTTAGCCGTGGTTAAAACACTTTACATACATCTAGTTGATTTCATTCTGAATTTGAAAAACCATGCAACATAGGCTGCAATGAGTATCTTACCAGGTCTCTCTCTGCCCATTGGATCTTGTTGGGCAGATTTTTATATTAGACGATACACGATAGTCTGATCAGATCAGTTAGTTTCCTGCGGATTTCGCTAATTTCCACTTTTTTCTTTTGAAATTACGACGTTTGATGTGCTGAAATTCACTTCATAATACGTAGTCAGAAATGATAGAATTCGATGAAAATCTCAGCTCATACTCAACATGAACCATGACTATCCTGTGTCAAGAACACATCTGAATTTGTCGTACCAGGCTACGATGGATTTCATGATTGAACTATTTTAACGGTAAATTCCAACATCGTCAAATCTTTTTTTGCCGACTCCAACTTCGCCGACTAAAAATGTTCACCGAAAAATATCGAATCAAATTTGATCCATTCTAGATATAGAATTTTATCCTAACTAATTACTTTAATAGGGTGTGGGTGTTTGGGTTTCCAAGTCAGGTGGCTGCCAACTCAGACGGCCACCAAGTCAGATGGGGTTAATTAATCAAGTCACTATAAAAGTAACTAGTTAGAATAAAATTCTATATCTAAAATGGATCAAATTTGACTCGATATTTTTCAGTCAACATTTTTATGAGACGTGGCCAAGTTTCCAGAAGTCGGGATCTCTTCGGAAATTGGGAACTCAAAAATCAAAAAGCGACTACCAGGGATGTGAATTCAAAACACATAAAGCATCTCAGGGAATCGAAGAATTCCTAGGATATCCAAGAAACTCAGGGATATCGGGGAGCTCAAGGAAGTCAGCGCATCCAAGTATTTGAGGGAAGTCAGGGAAGTCAGGGAAGTCAGGGAAGTCAGGGAAGTCAGGGAAGTCAGGGAAGTCAGGGAAGTCAGGGAAGTCAAGGAAGTACCCAGGTCGATCAAAACGGACCACCGTAAACCGGCGTAACATTACCGTAAGCGGTCGTTGTTGTATCATATTTCGTCGTAAAACGGCCGTTTTAAGTCGTATTAAGGCGTTTTAACAGGGGCAGTATTACGACCATACACGGACACCATATATCAGCCGTAAAACCTCGTAAAGCCGGCGTAATATTATCGTATTCTATAGAACATACGGCAGTATTACTGCCCCGGCCATACGGGAAAAATACGGCACGGAAAACGGGTCGTATTTCTATCGTATACGACCGTTTACTGATCGTTTTCTTCGATCGGGGTATGGGAATCCAAGCAACTCTGGGAAAGCAACGGTTTCCTGACCGGTCTATAGGATCAATTTTGAGCTGAAGGCATGTGCAATGGAAACATTTTTCTCTAAAGAAAATATTCACGTGTGAAAATGCATTGTATTCTTTCACTGAGATTATCAATGAAATTCTCATTGCATGAAGCACGCTTTATCAGGTAAGTTATCGTGCAAGAATTTCGTATGCTTTGCACAAGTTAAGAGATGTGATGCGGTCTAGAAGATTAAAATTTTCGCTACGGGATGTTCTTTCGTAACATTGCCACTTTCGCTACTTTGAAGGTAGAAATTCATGCTTTTATGGCAGTCGCTACAGCGAGAGGATTTATCCAATGTTGAGTGTTTGTCTCTTTTCCTTGAGAGTGTGAATGTGGGCGTTGCTATTCTAACTGATTCACCCACATCCAACTTGGTGTGTTATAGAACAACCATATCTTTGATACAGTGATAATAACATCATTTCTCACATACCTGACAACTCTTCACTACAAGAGATTCCTCACGCCGTTTCTCTGATTATCACCAACCTGATTCAATACGCTTCACTAGTTTCCACCAAATTCATTTTGCCTCAACCACATGGACAACAGACTTAAATGAGACATAATGAGCGTTACTGTCCAGTTGTTCTACTATGAATTCCGCTGATGATGGGTGCTTTCGTGACACCTTCACTTATGACGTTGTACTGTGAGTCCCGTTGTGACTGCCAGCCTTATGGTGACACCGACCGTCATAGCTAGATTTGCGTGTTCTTCTTTACATGTAAATATTATCAATAGTTGCAACACTATTAGAGGCGTAGATAAGCAAATAGATATATCTATTTAGGTTTTGCAGCTATCGTTTAGTGTCTAGATAAATAGATAACCTGATTTACCTATTTATCTACCCATATAAGCACCCAGAAACGTTTCATAGATAGAATATTTTTGACACTCGAAAACTGAACGATACCATAAATCATGATTCTGATATATCCTACTATCGCCGAAGCCGAATAATCCGAAGCTCTGAACTTCCAGCTTTATTCAACGTTTAAATTTATGAAAGTATCATAAAAAATCGCTCTAAAATATCCCAACTCATTATGAAGCAAACAGATCATTTGCTCATTTGCCCACCGTGACCTTGATGTATATATTATGTCAATGGATATGCACTCAGCCTTTTATGCCCATTATCGCCATTAGATACCATGCCGATTAAGTACATAACACTCGATATATTGATGGTTCAATCCAAGCGAGTTGAGTCTAGGCTCTCATTTCCCTCATATCCTTGGCCTCTCAGACTTCCCTGAGAACCTTGGATTCTGTCGCTTCCCTGAGATCCTTAAATTCCATTAGATTCTTGGATTCCCTGAGTTCCTTGAGTTCCAGGATTCCTTTGGATCTCCTTAGTTACCTGGATTCCCTGAAATCCTGGAATTCACTAACTTCCCTGAGTTCACTGGATTCCTTTGGATTTCCTGAAATCCTTTGATTCACTGGCTTCCCTGAGATCCCTGGATTCCTTGGATTCCTTGAGCTGCCTGAGATTCTTGGATTCCCTCATACTGTTAATATGCTTTGGTTTATTATCACTTGCTCGGGTTAATTGATTTTTCAGTTCCCAATTTGCAATCAATTCACGACTCTAGGGTACTCGAACACTGTTGGTAATCTTAGTGGGGGCGCATCAATATCTATTGATTGTGGCGAAACGCTTGCAAGAAAAACAAGCGGATCAAAGCCCGTGTAAATGTTCAAAAGATTTCCAACTTTATCAATATTTAATACCTTAGCTCAAGAGTGGCTTCTTTCGATTGTGTTTTGAATAAATGTTTTAGACGAAATTTCAATTTGCCCAGATTCTTAATCTGCGTCAGCAAAATTGGAATTCTAATATTGCCCAGGTGAATTTAGAATACGAACGTCAATAAATTAATTCAATCAAAATTTGAATAAAATAACTTTTTCAGCAGCCCCTCACACTCACACTGGCTTACATCCTTTCATCATCCAGTTATTTTTTTATGCATCTCGTTTTTTCTGATTTAGTTAAAGCACAAGATATGTATCGACGAATCTTTGTCATTGATTCTACCGATGATGTGAAGTCAAGTGTTATACAGGAACTCAGCCATCTGGATTTCCATGAACAACGTTTAACAAAACATACAAGAAACGATTTTATAGAATTTGATCCTTGCATACGCGGCGATTGTGCATATTTTTTTACTAATGCTACTATACTTAACCAAGTGGATCTTCATACAAATGGTAAGAGTCAGCAGTCACTGATTAAGGATCAATTGGAAAACTATCTAACTGATGGAATTCATTTAATTTTGTTCATCGCAAATAACGATAATTTGAATACGACAGCCTATACTAATTTTTCTTTCATGGTCTCTACTTTCTGCGATGGGAAAGTGCCTGCAATTTGCGTTACCAACGGTTATGAAAATAAGATGAAATCTAAGTATCTTCGAAATTATTCGGAATTTGTACTTGATGTGAACTATGGACGTGAACGTTCAAAGGCAATTAAAGATTTGTGGAAAGCAATTGAGAGCAATTCGTTAAAGCCGAGTACAGAGCCAAATTGTGCCAATCAGTTGAACAAAAAGCATAATATAAATACAGAAGAGAAATCAACATTGAAGATAGGTAAGAACAGAATCAATACACACTTTATTATTCCTGAAAAGAAAGGTTAAAGATCAATTCGATACAAGTACTGATGTGCGCAGAATTTCACTAGCAGATTTGCATAGAACAATGGTTCAATAAATCAAGAATACAGATCGTATTTAAAAAACAGAAGCATATAAGAAGATAGTGAGGCATTAAGACGGAAGCCTTTTCATCTGTCGTCATTCTATTGATCGATCTTTGTGATGCATAGACTAATTGCACAAATCGCATCTGCAAAATATTTTATCACAAAAGGTGCAATGGTGAATGTTGATATTTGGGAAATATCGAGTTCATTCCTGTAAATTTTGATGAAAGTGAGCAGCTAGACTCAATTGAAAAATTTTATTAACATGTCTGTTCTCTAAGTTTACACTTTCGTTTCTTTGTATTCTGGATGACTAGAATAAAGCAGCTTAATATTTAAGCATTCAAGATTATATTCGAGAAAGCGACTGAACAGCACGGAATATTTTACTACTCCCACTAGCTTAGCCTCTAAATATAGTTCGAATAAAGTTCAACAGTCATTCTTAAATGCAAGAAGTTTCGCTCATTATTCACTAATGTTTTCTAAATAAAAGTCGCCAGGTGTTCATATTTTTCAGGTAAAAATTATATGTTGTTACTACTGATTGAAAGAAAGACTGCTGAAAGTTTCACCCTAAGCATCCCTTTCAAGTGATTGTTCAATAGATGTTACGCTTCACCTATGAGAGAACTTCTTCCACTAACCAATCGTTTTAGAATCGAGAGTATATTCATTCTGTAGGCTCTAAGTGAGAAATAAAAAATTTAAAGGAGTTTGATGCTCTGACCGTTTGTCTCTGAAAAACGAGTTCGCTATTTTATCTTGTATCAAAAAAAAACGTGTTCTTACCCTTAAATTCAGCTGAAAGTTGGTATAAATAATTCACTTTATGAAATTATTTCATTCTGAAAGGTTGAGATCTGTTGATCACTAACAGCCTGAGAGATAGACATGAAATGTTTTATGCTATTGACCATATTCCTAATAATCTCTCCTTTGATCGGTAGTTCAGGCTCTTAGTGACCAACAGATCTCAAATATTCCCAATGAAATAGTTTCATTAAGTGAACTATTTGTAGCAACTTTCAGCTGCATGTAAGATTAGGAACGCGTTTTTTTGGTACAAGATAAAATAAAGAACTCGTTTTTTCAGAGCCAACCGGTTGGAGCATCAAACTCCTTTAGACTTTTTGTATTTCTCACTTAGAACCTACCCATGGAAAATATTCCTTATAATGAACGTGGAAGAACGCGTTTTCGAAAAAATCGAACGTATTTTATCGACTACAAACGCGTTCTAAGAACAAATTGATGGGTTCAGACGAGCTTCTCAAAATTTTGAACGCGTTCGAGCGCATACTTGTTGGTAAGCAACGCGTTTTTATCATATTGAGTACGTTAATAGTGAAGGCGTCTCTTATCGCACACCCGCTTTCAACTTATATGCGTTTCAACTTGTTCACGAGTAACTCGTTCTTATAGTTAGAAAACCCTTTTCTCCAAAAAACGCTTGAAAACGTATACTGAAAAACTTGTTTGGCAAATTTCAGAGCGCGTTTTTTTATACAATGAAAAAATGCTCATTTTAACCTAATGGAATTTATTACTTGAAATATATCGGAATACATGTAATGAAAGTGCTATGTAAATTAAGAAGTATGTGTCAACATGAAAAAATTTCTTTCTGTTGCAATGCACTGAAAGGTAGTGTCTTCTTAAGCAGAGTGATCATCTATCTAGAGTTTTGTAATAAACGATTTTCCTTTTTCCTAAACTAGTTTTTTTTATCAAACGAATTCGCTAATCTCATGCTTTTTTTTATGTACATTCTCAAATCGTATATTCTTTCTTTTATTTGAAAAATAGTAATCGGGAAAGTTTCAATTGATTTTAAACATTAAACAGAAATTTTTCAAAAGTCATACTAGTGTATGCCTCAAATGTATTTATCACATTTTTATTTGCCATCGAACACATCGCTTATTTTTGCTCATAATAAAAATCAGAATTGTCCATCGATTTCTAATTAATTTCTATTAAATTTAGCTTTTGTCGATTTAAATTTATAATGAATTTAACTTTTTAAAATTAACAAAAAAATTATATTTACTCAAATCGATCGTACAATGCAAATTCAATTTAAACCAATTTAATTAGACTTAAATTCGATAAAAATCACAGTAAATGAGTTTAAATCGCCTAAGAAATATTTAAGTCTAATTACATGAATTTTAATTGAATTTGAACAGTTTTGTATTGAATTTTTATTAACGTAAGCTAGATTAGAAAACTTTTATTAAATGTCAAAAAATATTAAAACGTTAAATTTTCAATATTTTATTTTAAAAGAAAGTAAAGTTCTTTAAATTTATTTTTGAATTTATTAAATTTTTCGTAAACCTAAATGGATCAGTCTTAAGTTTAAATTTCGTCAAGTCAGAATAAATTTTGTTTAATACAAATTGAAAATTTAGCACTTCAAACATACGTAAGTGAGTTCATTCGGCCCTAGTCGAACATCTTGTAAGCAAGATCTTCAAATATTGGGATCGGTAAGTAATATCTTATCAAGATCTTGGAAAGATAATTTGTATGTACATATCTTGGTTGTATCAGATAAATCTGTGCTTAAGATCTTGGCAAGATCATGGAAAAAATATCGTGTACTATTATCTTCTGATAAGATCTTGAGCGAAACAGAAAGCGCCATCATTAGTGTATTTACATGCTCTCTAGTCATTCACCGTTTTTTAAATGCATACACAGCTGTATATAAACAGCATGATTGAACATACGAAACACAAATTTTCAAAATTTTCTTTGCTCAACTATTTCTCGATTATTCGAGAGAATGCTGATCTCGATCGATGACCAAGGGAGGACTTCCCTAATTGGTCCGACGGATATCGGACCAATTTATAGCCAGCCAGATCCCAACATCTGACTTGCTGGAATTCGGGAGAAGAATAATTAAAATGAAAATAAATTGAAAAAATATTAAAGAATGCAGCAGGTATTATTTTAGTGTGCATCCAAGATTTAATGGATTCTTATGTAAGATCTGTAATTAGATCTTTGGTTCAAGATAATACAGTTATCTTGTACCTGAATGTCCAATATCTGTTAACATATCTGTACCTTGTACGTTGTATCTTGACCAAGATCTTGCTTGCAAGATGTTTGTCTAGGGGGATATTCACTATTTCGAAACTACAAGTTTATCTAGTCGAATCCACTCTACGGTAGTAAAAACAAAACAAAACGAATTAGAACGCGTTCAGTGCGAACGCAAGTATTCGAATAGAGGAACCAGCAGCCTGAGAACCAATACGAATAGCAAAAAAAAGCGTTCGAGACCATCCGAAAGTTGAAAATACATAAAAAATGATTTTTTTTTCTTCTAAATAAGAACGCGTTCTTACCGCGAAAAACGTGTTCCTATGGAACGCTTTTAGCGCTCTTTTGAAACGCGACTTTCCACTCAAGAATTGCTCTTCTAACACAACGCTTTTAGCATATTAGAATGCATTCTTTTAAATAAGAAGGACGCGTTTTTCATCACACAAACGAGTCTAAAAAGCGTCGGCACAATGCAGTCTTTTATCTCGACAATGCTTTCTCACTCGTTCCTTTTTTTGAACTTTTTTCATGAGTAAAGAATGAATATAATCTCGGTTCTGAAAACGATTTGCCAGTTGAGGTGGCTTCGTCGTCAGTTCAAGAAAAGTTTATGACAGCAATTCTTTGAGAAACAACAGTGGCATACCCACGTTTTGCAATACGAGTTACTTTTCTCTATTTTTGATCATAATTTGCGGTACACTCATAGATTACTGAAATCATTTTTCACAGACCTGTCAAATGGTTCATTGAGTTGTGTACGCACATTTTTTTTGACGTTCTTCTTATTTATACATAGTTTGAAAATGACCGTCTTAAACAGAAAAATTTCAGTTAGAAAGAAGTTTTTATAACAATTTTTTGCAATTTTCACCACTCTATTTGTTGAATCATTGATAAGTGAATTGATGCGCGAAAAATTCAGAGCGTTTTTGTTAGTCTGTTATTATATGAATTTATTACGTATTAGCCAGTGTCAAATAGCTGTGAAATTTCCAGGCCTTTATAAAATGTACTCTTAAGGTTTTCGTTCATGCTTTGAAAGAATAGCATCGATCTGTAATTTAACATTCTATTAATGACATTGTATTCTTAAAGATTTTCATTTAACTATATTTTTTGTACTAAGCCAATGGATCATGTTCTCGATCGATCGACTCAATGTGCCAAAACAAAGAAAAAGACAAACCATGCGACAATTTTGCTAACGAATGGAAATATAGTGTTGTTCCAGGACTTTTTAATGAAGCAAATACAGACCTTGCAAATCTAATGAGACGGTGTGAAGAATACAAATCGTGTGATTATCTTTATAAGTGAGATTGAAAATAATTCTTTAGAAATGCTCTGTTGTTTTTTGACTAAGTTTAGTTGCGTTTTGTTAACGACCGGTTCATTGAATCCTGTTCATCGTTCTCACATAAAAAATTTAGAACTAGTGAAGAAACATCTTGAACGAAACAGTCCGCGGTGGAATGTTCTCGTAGGCTATCTTTCTCCTACTCAGTAAGTGTTCACTTAATAAATCGATCAATAACCATCTTGCTATCTATAATATTCAGTGATTTATACGTGCGTGGTAAATTAGGCAAAGCAACAATACCAGGCTGTGATCGATGTGATCTTTGTGAACTAGCGATCAGAGAACATGAGCGTGAAACGACAGCTTCACATTGGCTTAGTGTATCTCGAGCTGAGAGTGAATATCACCACGGCTTTGTCGATTTCGGTCCAACGACTGAGGCACTTCGCCAATATATAAATTCAGCTCTTGTCGGTTCTGATCGACTTTTCAGGAATCCAATCTACGTGGTTTATGTCTGCGGTCTGGATCATTTCAACAAATGTCCCGATGTCAGACGTTTGGCCAGAGAAAAATATATTAAATGCGCAGTTATCTATCGCAAGCAATGCGACGAACGGCATATCTCCACATTTGATGAATCATCTAACATCATCTATGTTCCTTTAGAAGGCGAACGTAAAGACCTTATCGACATAAGTTCGACTGAAATTCGACGTTGCTGGGAAAACTCGTCGTATGATATTACACAGTTTACGTACGCTTCTGTAGCTGATCGTTTAAAGTCCATGAACTTTCATTTCCGTTGACTTTACTGAAAGTATTTCAACAGTGAAGCTAGTTAATGTGACTGTGGGCGATTGTTTCAATCGAAAAATAGACTGACCTACCTATTTAACGAAGAAAATAAGAGTTCATGCTTCTAGTCCCGAATTTTTCTTTTTCAGAAATGGATTTCAATGGATAGTGAAGATGAGGGTAAGGGTTTACATATATAAAATGGGAACCAGACCGAGTGATCTTCTAATCAAAAGACAAATGTAAATTGCTTGTTTTGAGTCTTGCTTGTCATTATGTATAAATAAGAACACTTTTTTCGAAACAAAGATGCAAATTGAAATACTAATTACGTATATGCTTAGATCACATGAGAAATTGAGCCGAAATTTGATTGAAATTGACGAGAATTCTTAAATATCCGTATAACTTTTATATGATGTTATGTAATGCACAAGGAAAATATGGTTGATGAAAAAAACAAATTGAGAAATAATTAAAACATCGAATGACCCAAAATAAAAACCTTATGAATTCGATAAAACAAAATTCGTTTTACAATATACACGGATCAGGTTTCTCCGCAGTTCTTATTTTGAAGAGAAAAAATATTAAAAACATTTATCCAGTGACTCTCAAAATTATTCGGCTGAGTTTATTTGCAATTTTTTTCGTTCTCATAAAGTCTAAGAAAAATTCCACTAGCAAACAGCATAGAGAGTTTACTTTCCAGCAAGAATATAAAAAGATACAAATGATTGCTAGTTTTCAAGGGAAAGAATCTGTAAAATGCTGAGACACTAGGTTGTTCTTTCTTTAGAGACTATACTCTCTGAAAAAATATTAATCACTTTTATCTTCTAAATTTTATTGCTGAATATAAAATTCTGTACTCAAATCACTATTTAAGTTATTGTTTATGTTTAAGGTAGTGGAAAAAACTGGAAATAAACTGGGTTGAATCATTTTTAGCAAAATAGGCTCTACAAGCGCTGAAAGTTGTAGTGAACTTGGAAATGGACATCAACCTAAGTGATCAAGTTTGACGAATATATCGCCAGAGTTGGCTGAAAATTTATGATCTACAATGTTGTTGATAGTCTTTCCCTTCTAATTGACTAGTGTGAAGTAAACTGAATAGCAAATCTATTAAAGCAAACTGTGCTCTATCAAACTGGTAATGTCATCATTCTGATTCATTTCAAGTCTTACACTAAGTTTTTCAATCCATTTCTTATCCGGTACATTACATAGCGCACTGATGGACCATACAAGAATTTTAAAAATTTCTATTGATTCTGTGGCAGTTTTTCACGAGAAATCTCGATATGTGACCGCGGTATTAAAATCCGAGCGAACAACGAGGAATGTTGACTGTTATTTCGACAAAGCTGCAGTTTTTATTGAATATAATTAAAATCCAATACATGACATATCTCAGTGATAATATCATTGGGATTTTCCATAAACCAAAGTGTTACCCATCCGCATATAGATAAGTAGGTAGGTAAGTAGATCAATAGATAAATAGTAGGGGCATGCAAAGCGGTCACGGTCACGCCTGACAAGAGCCCGCCAGGTCCAAGAATGTTTGGACCCAGACCCGGACCCGAACCCAGTACATCAAAAACGGTTGGACCCATACTAGTGGTGATACTATAGCTTTGAAACTACTCTGATGAAATTATTCAATTTAAAGTAGCGTACCTCAACTTAAATCTTTGAATTTTAATTTAAAGCTAAAACAAGCATACCTTAAACTTTAACTTTCGAAAAGGTCAAAATTCGGGATGCACCAATTCAAATTCGAGTCTATTCAATTCCTAGAATTGGTCGGAATTGGTCTGAAACCGGTATAGAATTGGCTCTAAATGAGTGTAGAATTAACTGAAATTGATAGTACAATTGATTAGTCTTGACTAGCAAGTGCTTGAATTTGTCAAAAATAAAATAAAGAAAGTGGGACGTANCGGACCCGAACCCAGTACATCAAAAACGGCTGAACCCTGAGGGGTACTCCAGGTGAATCTTTGGTAGAAAAAAGAAGTTGCCGAAAGTATTTAAAATATACATTGTTCGAGTCAGTTTTTTGTGCTGATTCCAAATATGTTATTAATTGTGGCTCAAGCTGTAGCTTTTATGATAAAAATCTCAATTTTCAGATTTAAGGCCTTATACGTCCCACTTTCTTTATTTTATTTTTGACAAATTCAAGCACTTGCTAGTCAAGACTAATCAATTGTACTATCAATTTCAGTTAATTCTACACTCATTTAGAGCCAATTCTATACCGGTTACAGACCAATTCCGACCAATTCCCAGCCAAGAATTGGAATTGGTGCATCCCTAGTCAAAATTGAAAGTATATTTTTCAGAAAAACAATTGCAATAAATGTTTCTTCTCTTAAAATTTGTTTTTAATGCAGTAATAGACAAAAAATCGATCGGTGAGATAAATGTTCACTTCAAGCGAAAAACTGCCGTTCAGGTCGAAAATGAATTCTCGTTCCGTTCTGTCTGTAACAGAAGACAAACTATATAAGTATAAGTCAACGTGTGTATACTAAATCCATATCGAGTACTTTTGTCGTCACTGTTCAGAAAAGATATCCGTGCACATACATCATATTCCATGCTATACAGAACTTGACAAACACCAAATATGAGCAGTTTTCATTTTTATTTTCATTCTTCACATTCCTTCTTTCCCAACGATTCATTGAAACCAAATTTCTTATCAGCTCTTTTACATTCGTCACGCATCATCACAAAATCGTGACAGCTTTCGCTTGTATCGTAAGTGATTTTCGGCATCCCATCTTCATGCAAATTTACCCATCATTGTTTTAACCAAAGTCAACCAAAATCTAACTGATTGTAAATTTTTCCAACAGCCTTAGTACCGTGCAAACTCCTTTTTCTCCTAACCCGAATACCTGTACGTTCATTTCGGTTACATACGAACGCATTTTTCTCTATAGGAAAAATGATGTTTCATTTATCTAAATTATTTTTCCCATTGAGTTTTTCATTTTTCCGCTGCAAAGTCATTTTTACATTGGTTTGACGTTATTGGGGGAATGGGATATTTTCGTTACTGTTTTTTTGTTTAGTGTGTGTATCGTAAGGTTAGTTTTTAAGCATTCTTGACCTGAACGTCATTTTTCAGCTTGAAACGAGCATTTATGTCACCGATCGAATATTTGTATAATCCTCTGATCCGGGAAGGACTGTACTGGATAGTCTGATAGGAATCGGACCAATTCCAAATCAGCCATATCTTAGGATCTGATCAGATTGAATTTTCAAAAAAGAAAGAGATATATGTAATTAAATTTAAAAAAATATCGAAATATGCGTTTCAAAAGCAACCAATGAAAATGTGTCGGATGTATTGTGAAAAATGCGTCGTGTTTTTGCTTGGCAGAATGTGTCGCAATAAGCACCTCATGTCGTACTTGAATGTGTCGTGCTTTGTGTCGTAGTTTACGACACATCCGACATATTTTCACTAAGAGTGAAAAGTCATCTCGACTGTAATTTTCATTGTTTACGGCTGTTTGTGCTCCGTACTCTCATGATCATACGGTCCGTATTATTGCACCAGATATTACGGCAAAATTTCACCCGGAAAATAGTCGTAAAGCAACCGTAAACGGCCGTATACGGACCGTACTGTTTGACCTGGGTAGGAGTCATTTTAAATATCTTGTTGAACATGTTGCTGACTTGATTTCGTTGAATATGTTTTGATTTAATCGATATAATAGCATGAGTTTAACTATGGAACTACTAATCTTGATAATAATGATATTTTTTCAATCATAGGATTTTCTCGAATAAAAAAGAAAAATAAGATTAAATCAAAATATATTCAACAAAATCAAGTCTACAACATGTTCAACAAGATATTGAAAATGACTCCTGGTATTGAGTCAAAAGCTATAGACAATAATTATTTATTTATTTATTTATTTTATTATATAAGAACTAGATGAATCGCTACAAATTACAGTCGAAATGACTTTTCGGTTTAAATTTCGATTTATTCTTATTTTTCTCTCTTTTTTATTTGGAAAAATCCTATGATTGAAAAATATAAATACTTTTTTTTACTTGAAAGTAAAGTTAAGCTGGCACCAGGGTTGCCCCGACTGGGGGAGGGGGGGGGCGTAACACCTCCCATGTTCGAAAAATTGTCTTGCATTGTGTTTTACAAAATAAAACTTATACTATCTTAAGCGTGATTTCATAAGTTATTCTCGGCGAATGTTGAACTCAAAAACCCAGAATTCGAATCTCAAAATCCTCAAAAAATCCAAAAAACTCCTGACAAATTCGAAAAAACTCCAGAAAAATCTAGAACAAATCCGAAAAATTTAGAAAAATCGAGAAAAATTCCCATAAAATTCGGAAAAGTTCAGAAAAAATAGGTAAAATTGTGAAAATGCAGGAGTTTTCAAAATCTTGGAAAATCTGGCAACACTGGTTATTCCCCCTCAGCATTTTTGGAAAGTAGGAATTTATAACCCACCCCCCCCCCCCAAGTATTGCGTTCACGCGATACCCGTGACCCTAGCATTTTGAAGTAGAAAATTTTTACACCTCCCCCCAAAGTTGGAATGGTCAGGGCACCCCTGACTGGCATTCTTAAAAAAATATATCTGTAATGAAAGGTGCTCTTAAACTTGCAATCAAATTTTGTCGAGCTCACATATATTTTCGAAGAAAATGGTGAGTTTAAGTTTAAAAGCGAGATTTTTACGACTCTCCACCCTCAACTCTCCTCATTACAGACCCCACCCGCCATTATAGGTAACCACGATGCATTGCAAACATTAGCAAGCATGCAACAACTAAATAAGACATTTTTCTATCGATCGATTGTCTTGCAGTACATTTCACATTTTACGTGTTGTGTATTAGTAAAATTAGGCGAAAAATCATATGTGAGTTCCACATTTTAGCCCCGAAAGGGGCTGCGCTAACAAACCTTTCTAATAGAATCTGGTGATCACTCCGAAGATACAACATACTTCGTTCCTTTTGTGCTAGACAAGTAGTACATTTTACATGTTCTTTCAACTATCCGATAAAGCTTTTTAGACAATTAATTTATGACGGTCTCTGATTCCTAGCGACTCGCTATTAGTGTGCAGCGTCGGATGGAATAAGGAATGAATGAATGGATTAGTGTTTATATTGGTTCTTTTGCTATATAACTTGACCACTAACAATATCTTTTCTTTCTCACTCACTCAGTTATATGCACAAAAATTTCCTTGCAATCTGACACAATGAGTAAAAGCTATTTCATCTGGACCTGGGTCCGGGTAGGACCCAACGGGCTCTACGCCTGACTGCGACTATTTAAAAGAATCCGAGACCGTGCCTAAAAATCATAGTCGCAGGTGTTACGTGACCTAATGTTTTACGCACACCTTTATCTATGCATTGTCGCATGGTGGCCCTGTGGGCCACCCAACCAGCGCCGATGTGTCATCTCTCTCTTTGAACATGTTGCTCTCTTGCAGGTGTTACGTGATCACAGGTTTTATCTATCCATCTACCCATTTATCTATTTACCTACCTATCTATGTATCTATAAGCGGATAGGTGGCACTTTGATTTTTGGAAAATCTCAATGATATTATCACTGAGATTTGTCATGCACTCAAAATGCATGAGAAAATACGTAAAAGAGCACAAATAATGGACGCATTCTGAATTGTAAAACGCTCAATTTTCAATCTATATGTGCATTAGAATGTGCAGCTTTGCACGATTTGATATTCGATTTACATGCAAAATTTCTTTGGTGCATCCAAGATTTTTTAAATTAAGCGACCTATTTGAATAAAAGAAATAACTCCGAATTTCAAGATTGAATAAGAGATTGCTCTGATGCATTCTTACCTGTTCATGCTAAAATGAAAAATAAATTATTAAGAATGATAACTAAATCGGAGCACATTAGAGGAAAAGAGTGGAACATCGTGGAATAATAAAGAAAATGACTGATAGGTAGAAAAATTAAAAATAGCGTTTTCTTTAAAATTAAAAAAAAATGTTGTAGCACTATTGAAGGCAATCGAGTTGTGGAAATTATTTTCGGTAGGTCTAAAATATGTACTCATGCTGAACATCAAAGAAATCTAAAAGTATTACAAACTAGGCTTTTTATTTTACCCAACAATTCTAGAGAAGTTTTCTAGTCAAATGAAAACAGGATGAATAAAAAGGACGTTTCATTTTTCTAGCTATTGCGATATCTTGTCCAATCGTCTGTGATTTACATATCATATTCTGGCTGTCTAAATAACGAGCATCATTCTGTTTCCTATGCCTAGCTTTTATTTTATACCATTCTGAGGTTTGTTCAAGACCGATTTTCGATTCAAAAGAAGAAAAAGTATTCATTATGCTACTTACAACGAATTTTAATATTATGTATTGGTCAAATCGGAACTAGTCGAGATAACAGAAATAAAAGGGAAAAAGTTTGATTCTACCATGCCAATAATTCATCAATCATTGATCAACCAATCGATCTAACTATACGTTCAAGTGATCGATTTCTGCATGTTGATAAATTTTCTCGGATATTATTTAATAATATTTTTCTCTGAAATTTTCAGATTTCACTATAAATAAAAATTCTGCACTATCAAATAAAAACTGAATTCTATAAATATAAAATTGAACAGGTGCATAATAAATTTAAATTGTTTTTATACGCAGAATTTTATTTATTCTTGCTAGAATAATGTGGAATAGCTTTTGCAAAATAACATGATAAAATTGAAGAAATTCGATAAAAAAAAATGAAAGTTTCTACTGAATTCTTTTTTTCTTATTATCACTATAACAAAAATCTGGAGTTTCATCACGTAAATGAATCTTTCGAATAATTTCTTGTTCATCTTCATCATCAGTAGTTACCATAATTGTTGTCAAATCATTATTAATTTAATAAATGCAATTTTGTTTTGTGTTTGATAGGTGGATTACAAATAGTTGAGTGTATTTTGAATAGGCGAAGTATTGTAGTATGACGGACGTGAAATTACTTCATGATTGAATGAGTCGGTTTTGCATTCAATTGTTTTTTGTTCGATAGTGTTGTTCAGGTAAATGACATAGTTGTTTTCTGTCTGTTTTGTTGTTGAATCCCTCCGGGTAGATGTATAGTGGTAACGATGTATCTCGGTCGCTTTTATCGCTGTTCTCTCAATACATCCATACTTGTTGAAACGGAACAGTGAATATCTCAAAAGATCATAACTACGTCCTATAGCAGTATCGATGACTATTTTGCCATTCTTCTCAGCACTGCGCCTGCTCAGGAATACGAAATTCATTTATTACTTTTAAAATTTTGGCTCTTTTTTAGGAGTAGCATAGTGTGGGCCAAAAGTCCGACCGGAATTTCGGACTGAGCCGAAATTCATGTAAACCTAAAATTATCTGAAATGATAATCATTTACAGGTGTTTTAAATACAATCATCAGAATTCATACTTGGCATCAAATAAAATACTAACGTAAAGATTGTAGTATGATTTCCAAAGTAAATTATTTTTAATTTACTCCATAGGCTATAAATTTAAAAAATCCTGACTCGGCAATATTTCTCAAGTAATTAGAACACATGTTTTGTCATGCACGTTATTTTGCTTTGATCTCACTAAGTAGAAACATTTCGTGGTTTGTAACACCATGCACGAACATATCCAAGCATGACACAAAGCGCTCATTGTAACATTCTAAAAAAATGATTTAAATCGATAACATAGTGCATCTGTCTTTTTTTTGTCTATGGAAGAAGATAATTATTATTTTCGAGTTAATAGGTATTAGTGCTACCAACTTTTAAAATTCGATAAGAGCAAGTCTTAAAATATGATCATCATGAAATCACCTGGCAGCTGCAAGGCAGGTCTCGTTGAAATCATCAATCCATATTTCGGCAAATTTCGACCAACAATTATTAGAGCGATAGACTAGAAAAGACAATAAAATAAATAAGTTCAATTTGATTCATCGAGTTGGTAAATGTATAGATTTATGTTCAAAGCAAAAGTACGAATGGAAAGTCACCCGAAAGATAAAGAGTCATTCAAAATACGACACATGAAGGCGACACATATATCTTGGTTCAATAAAATTTTATTTTGTAGAACTCCTAAATATTGTAGAAGAGAAGAATCTGTACAAGTTTGAAGTCGAAAGTTTTTGACTGCTTGTGACAGATCTGAACAACCGGGATTAAATAGTCGATATTTGCATCAATCTGCTTAGTGATTTCTTTCAATGCTTATAATAAGAAGAAGAAAAAAAATATATATATATATATACTTGTTCTGGATTTGAGTTCATCGTAGGCTGGTTTAACTGACATGTATATCTTGTAGTTAAAAAATTTCCAAAATTGAAAGCACTACTCGATCATCAGCATGGTCTTATGCATTGTATTAGTCACAAATACGAATATAGTTTGGTGGTTGATTCAGGGAACCAAGATCTGTTGTGAATGGAACTTCATTCTATCAATCGTCGTCTCTATGAACATGAGATTCATATAATTCATGAGGACTGTCTAGTGTTACAGACACTCAATCAACTATGAGAGCTAAAAACCGACTTGATTCAATTTGTTTTTGAAAAATGTGTGTTCCATTCAATTAGGTTCACCTTTCATTCAACGATCACTCCACATTTGATTTATTTTCTTATGAATAATTAGTGACCTTTTTTTTATTCTAAAAACAATAAATGTTACTATGGAGTCAGATTTTAATTATGGAAAAAATTTCTAGTCTAAGAACGCCTTCATTTATTGATAGTCAACGTCAAAATCGTCGTCGCCGCTACTCAATCAGCTCCCCTAATTTGTTTGAATCTCGTGGAGGTACTATTATTCAACAGTTCGATAACATAATCAATCGATCGTCGCGCGCAAAGCTTTCTAAAACAAAATCTGCATTATCGATTTCAAATCTTGGCTTTGAATCGACAAACTCGGATTTAGAAAAATATGATATTCTAACAAAATTAAATATAGGAGCATTTGGCGCAAGTTATCTAATACGAGATTCGAATGATGGACAAATGTACATATTAAAACGAATTGATTATAATTTACCAGAGAAATTTCGTGAACATTTATTTAACGAAAGATATTTATTAAGCGTTTTAAAGTCGAATTATATTCTTTCATTGATTTCTTCTTATATCGATATAGAACATAATTGTTTTTCGATGAAATTTGAATATACAAATGGAATAACATTATTACATTTACTTCGACAAGTTCGTTGGTTTGAAGAATCAGCTGTAGCATTTTATAGTGCACAAATTGTTGTCGCATTTGAATATTTACATGAATTAAATATTATCTATGTAAATAAAATAAAAAATTATTTGATGATTTCATGTTTACTATGTTCGTTTTAGAGAAATCTTAAGCTAGAAACTATTCTTCTTACTCATAATGGATATATTAAGCTATTTGATTTTGCTTTTGCTAAATTATTATCTTCACAATCAACTTATACATATTCAATAGTTGGCGTACCTGATATTATTCCACCTGAAATGCTTTTAGCTCGACCGTATTCATTTTCAGTTGATTGGTGGCAATTAGGCATAGCTATGTTTGAAATGCTTACATCACGTACACCGTTTTTCTCTCCATCAATGTTTGAAACACATAAAAATGTTATTGAAAATCGTCGATATGAATTTCCATCACATATTAGTAGTTTAGCACGATGTACTTGTATGATGTTGTTACAGCCGAATATAAAGAAACGTTTAGGTTGCTCATCAACTGGTCAGGGCGCAAAAGAAGTTAAACAAAATGTTTGGTTTAAAAATCATGTGAATTGGGCAGCAATTATTGAGGGAGCACATCCACCACCATATAGAATTAACAATGTTGAAAGAAATTCAAATAAAACTACATCATTGCTAAATACAATTGAATCGAAATGGTTAGATGAATATGACCAAGCAGTACGCTCGTTAATGGATGTTAGTGTTTCAGACGATGAAACGAATTTATTGAAAATTTTTTGAGTTAACATAATAACATATGTGACATTTAAGAAGATACACGCGCAGTCTTTTGAACAATTTTCTTTTTTGAGAAAAAATTCAACTAGTTCGATACGACGAACAAATAAGGAATTGTCTTTTGTGTGTCATCAATTTACTTCACATCATGCCAATGATTTTGTATATCCTATGTTGAGGCTGGATAATTCTTTATTTTCAACCGATTCATAATGTAGAAATCTTTGACAAAGATTAAAATTCTATTATAACATATGATCGAATTCTAAGCCACTTCTATTATCGTTGTTAATTGTGAAAGTATCGATGCAATGTAATACGAGAAAAATGACGTGTTAATTTATAAGAGCATAACGGATAATAAAGTTATATTTAGATAATTCATTGTTTAATCAAATATACTCATGTTTACAAGTATATCGACGAGAAAGTTAGACGAATGGCTTAAATCATTCTGACCATTTTTATTTGTTAGTAGTTCAACTCGTAAGTTGCATATAGTTTATATAAAAAGCTGAATTTCTATTGACAACTCCAATGTCTACCATAGTGTTTAAATCTACAGTTCTAGTAAAATCAAATTGGGTTGCATGCAAATAATTGTTTTTTAAAAGATTTGTTTTTAGAGACAGGATATGCTTTATTGATCGCTTAGTAACAAAATAATAGTTACTACGTTTTCTTTTATATTATAAATAATACTTTTAAAGCAGTCCGATTACTTCTCCTGTTATTAACTTCGTTTGAAAATTATTTTATTGGTTAGCCAATCAAATATTATCGATGTAAGGATATTACATGTTCAGTAGCTCAGATGATTCATTCATGTCACTGAATGGTCGCGTTCAGCTTATCGTCATTTTTTGATAACAATCGAGGTGATCTTTGTAAACTTAAACAAAGTGATTTCTATTCTTTTTTTGACTTTCTTTCGTCCATAATTGACACGTCGACATAATATCACTGCATAAGAAAGAAAGAAACGACAAAGAATCAGACAGAAAAAGATAGAGCGAGAGGCAATGTCCAACATATAAATCTATTCATTTCATTATTTTTATTTTCTTCGATTATTCTCTTTTGCGTGCATGCTCGTCTAAATAGTAATAATAATAATAAAACATGATTTTCATTTCTAGACTGTCGTTTAATAATTTAAATCAAAATCAAACATGGGCAACAAACCATCCAGTAAAGTTGATCCGTAAGGAGAACTCATGATTTTTGTAGAAGTTCATTAGAAATTAATTTTTCTTATAGTAAAATTCTTTCACCAAAAGCTATTCAAATGCTTAAGGCAAATACAAATTTTACTGAAGAACAAATTCGCGAATGGCATGTTGGCTTCTTACGTGATTGGTAAATTTAAATTTTATTTGTTCGTTCATATTGAAAAGATCTTTCTAGTCCAAGTGGTAAATTATCCAAAGATCGATTCATTGCAGTTTATGAACAATTTTATCCAAGTGGTAAAGCAAAAGATTTTTGTAAATATGCTTTTTCTACATTTGATCGTGACAACAATGGAACAAGTATGTTGTTTTGAAAACTAGTTCGACTGTTTTTAGTGCCTTTTTGTTTTAGTCGATTTTACTGAATTTATGCTTGCTATTGCATTGACACAATCGGGCGATCTTGATGAACGTCTTGCTCTAGCATTTGATATGTATGATTTTAACAATTCGGGTTTAAGTAAGTTTAATTTAGAAAGCAGAATAATCTTTTTTATGTTACGACCAATTCTTTCAATTAGTTGATACTAATGAAATGACAAAAGTGATTTCTGTATGTAGTCGTCTGTTCGTTGATTTTCAAAGTATAAATATTTTATTTGCATAGGCTATGTATGATCTTATTGGCGAAAAAGATCGTAAAGGTAAAAGACTTGTTAAATAAGAAAACAAAAATGGTTTTAATTCTGTTTAGGTGAGCGTGATCCAAAACAGCGTGCCGAAGAAATCATTCGCATTTGTGATGTTACTGGAAATAAAAAATTAAGCAAACAAGAAGTAAGCTGAAGAGAATAAACTGAAGTACAATTCTTCATCAACTATTTCTTTTAGTTCATTGCTGGATGCAAGAATGATCCAATTATACGTCGTTTACTTGTTCCTAATGCCTAATCGTTATAAAATCAAATAAAAACTATCAGTTAGTTTCCAGAGTCTTACTATCTTTGTTTGTTTGTTCAGAATCTTCTGTCTGTAAATGTGCACTGTTGTAATTTTGTGTTTTATATGTTCACGCAAACAAAATAATCTAGCAACTGTACATTTTTATTCTTTATCTGTTGAATAAATGCGAGCATAGGACAAAAAATAAAATATATACTAGAAAATAGAAAAAGTCTACGTTCATAGAAATTATTTCACATGATAGAGAATAGATTTGAACGAACGATATGTTTTGCTCACAAGAATGGAAATCTGAAAAGATGACCTTGAAATAGATAAAACGATATCTAATTCTATTATGGATATCAGTGGCGTTCAATACATTTATACACTTCTATAATCGAATATAATCATGAAGTATTATTCATACGCAACTGAAAATCTGATAGTCCTTTTCATTATCACTCATCGTATAGCATAGACCGAAGACACCTGTATTTTTATATTCATTATGAATCCTAGGAAATCCTGATAAGATTGTGTTTGTTCACAAAAAGAAACCATCGTCTTAGTTCACTAAAGAATTTATCTTTCTTTTACTGAAAACTAAGACTTATAATAATATAGATCTATACTAGGCAATGAATACAGACATTACAAACCAATCCTATCAGACATGTGATATTGCTTTTTAGCTGAAAATTAAAACTCAACGTAAATGTTTTCTATACCGTTGGCAACATAAATCGTGACTAATGATGCAGTGATGCAACATTTTATACTCACAAACAGTTACGTTAGAGCAATGAAGATAGATTGTTTTATGTGAAATCTAGTTCAGTATTTCTTATATCAACATAAATATGATGTTCAAATCTAGCAAGTTCTCCATCATTAGAAAACCAATAGAGTCAAATAATGAATGTTATCCCTTAGGAACATGCCCGTTGTTCTTCTCAAAAGAAACACATTATGCAGTAAGACATGTCTGTAGTTTATCGATTGATTGTGCATATTTTATGCTTGGTGCATGTCAACAATGTGATAGGACATTTTTTTAGATGTTATCCAGATACATGAACTGCTTCTCGAAACATATTGAAGAGCATGTCAAGATGAAAATACCTGGTTTGGAAGTTGCTTTTGAATGAAAGCGAACACATTGAAACAAATGTGCAGAAACGTCTGTATGCTCGAATAATAATAATAAAACCGTAGTAAAAACTGTTGGTCGAATAGCTAAAAACTAGACAACAATGATCATATGAAATTATTAAATTTCTTTATAAAGTATTTATCAAAATAAAAAAAGATGATCATCCAAAAATGTCATGCCCAAGAAATTCTTACATTTTGTTTTGTATGCACTGCGCGGGATTAGTTCTAAATTCATGTATGATCTTATCTACTAAAAGTAAATGTAAGTCGAGATAAACTTATGAAAAAATGGCTCGCCATTCAATGGTTTCTAAACGGCAATACTTCTATTTTTAAGGTACGTTGATGTTATTTTCTAATGGAAATATGTTTTTTCGAAATAAAATTAATGATACAACTCCTATAGGATTGAAATGCGGAGTATGATCTAGTTGATCTTGCTAATCACAAGATGGTTTAGGATATACTATCTTGCAGAAACGCACTAAGTCAATGGATTCAAATATTTACCTCTATGCTTTAGTATTTCTATTAGATAATGTTTCATAAGATACTGAAATCAGTTTTGACTGTTCAACTCAAGTTGTCAGAAAAAAATATTCAACAGAACTTCATATAGTGAAGTGAATTTTTTTTTAACTCTGGAATATCTCGCAAAACCGTTATGGGATAAGTTGAGCATAGATGCAACTAATAATCTTGTATCAATACAAAATAAAAACTAATGAACATTATTTTAAATTTCATTTTCGCATAAAATTCAATTGAAACCGAAGCTGTTTCCTACAGAGCGTTGTGCGAGACTCTGATGGTATACACATTCTCCTGTTGTTAAGATCTCTTTCTTCAATCAAATACTAAACAGGTCTTTCATTCCTGCTAGAACTATTTCGAAACGAGTTATCTAGAAATCTTCAATTCATACTGACTATTCTTGACATTGTCGACATCCCACTGTTAATTATTTTCTTTCTCTTGTACATAAACATACGATTGGTTAAACTGTCGATACCAATCGTAGAAACACGTCAACACACAAAAACATTCATTCATTGTTCCCCTAGTGATTGATACGCTTGTTGAAAACGTCATGTTATTTAATAAATTCTATCGATATTTATCCAAATTGCCAACTCTTATCCATCACCAAACAAGGAAATTATCAACCGAGAAAATAATTCAAGATCAACGTTTATCAAATATTACTGTTACTTCATTCTATTGTCAAACAGCTATCGAACAACTTGCACTTAAAGTAATATTTTACGTTTTCCTCATTATAAAGTATCAAATTTACTTCTTCATTTAGCAATCAACTCGTCTTTCACCATTAACAATGATGTATACGGGAAAAAACGACGACGATAGACATCTATTAGTATGTTTGAATACAAAACACGATTATTTTACTTGAAAAAAAGAATTTTATTTCAGCGTTCAGCTCAATATTTACATAAAGATTTACCAATCCGTCTTGCACATCGTATAACTGATTTTCGAAATTTACCATTTGTTGTTGCCTGTAATCCGCTTCTATTAGAATTGGTAGCTAGATTTGATTTGATTGCTAGTCTCAATGACAAATGTTTTTCTTATCTAGCATGAACATTTTATTAAAATATTTCACACACTTCATTCATTTCCACCGGTAAAATTTATTTCTTTTTTAAAATTGATATCAAGTCAATTTTTTTCTCTTCCGCAGATAAAAACACTCGAGCATGAAAAGCTTTATACACAATTATTACAAGATACACTTGATTGCAGTTCAAATACATTACCATTGTTAGTCGAAGGTTTTCGTGAATCACAACGATATATTAAGGTAAGAACGAGAAATTCTATGAATTTGCTTACTGGAATTATTTTTTTCAGCAAGAAACGCTTGTACGAAATTTTCTCGATAATGCACTTACATTTCGTTTAGCTATTAAAATGTTAATTGAGCATCATCTTGAATTAAGAAAAACTAAAGTAAATAAAAGCAAACGAACACAGAGAAAATTTTGGCTCGATTTAACTTTTGTAGCCAAATCATATTGGTCTTATTTGTACGAACTTTTCTCCTAAAAAGCATATTGAAGCATCAGTTGAGTATGTTCAGTAAGTAGAAATTGAAAGAAAAATGTTACATTCAAGTATATACCATTTCCTTTACTTTTCTTTTTAATTAGGGCACTATGCCACGCCACATATGGTATTGCACCGGATGTTACAATTGACGGACATGTGAATAGTTCATTTCCTTATATAACACCGCCACTTAGTTATATTGTACCAGAAATGCTTAAGAATGCGTTTAGGTACGATGATTTTGTGTAAAAGTAATTTAGCACATTGCATTCAGTTGTTCTTCTCTTTTCTTGACACTACCGATGGCAGTCTTGTGCGTCCTATGGGCTACTGCTTATCCTGCATTGAATAACTAATTTTAATATGGAGCAGTGTGAGAGACTATGAAATATTCTTTATATGTAAGCAAGCTACTTTTCAGTTATGGATCCGTTGATAAAAATGACTACTAGTTGAGCTTGACCGATTATCCAATATTGTATTAGTATTCATTCTTTTTCTTTTTTGTAGTAAACATTCTTATGCATATATCTTATTTTTTAGAGCTACGGTGGAATATCATAGAAAATCAAATGGTAAATTACCAAAGGTAGCTGTAACCATATCGGTGGATAATGATGAATTACTGTTAAGGTATGACTATCAGGAAATCTTTTTCGTGCATTATGTCACAAGCGTCTAGAGCGAACTGAATAGATCTCAAGATTCTTCGGCAGTAGAAAGTTCATACAAAAACAAAATTGATAACTGATTTGATGACGCTAAGATTCAAGCATTGCCCGCATCGTTTTTAAATATATGTTCTATTTTCATGTTATTTATTAGAATAAAAGATCGTGGTGGAGGTATGCCCAGCTCATTACTCAATAAAATATATGATTATCATTTTTCATCAAATAATCTATCTGATGAATCATCGATGTTATCATATACTGATTTTGATAATCATCTATACGATCAACTTGCCAAAAGAAACACTCAACATAGAATGAGCGGGTAACGACGTAATGCAAGATTTTGAAATTTTTTAGCGCTGAACAATTTTTTTATTTTGTAGATACGGTTTTGGTGTGCCAACATCACGTGCCTATTGTGAATATTTGAATGGTTCATTAACATATGAAACTATGGCTAGTATCGGTACTGATGTTTACATACGTGTTGGACTTTTAACATCAGAAAATCGTATTGTACGTTTGTAGATTAGAAGAAAAACAAAACATTCGTAGTAGAGTGGTTGCTGATATTTATATGAGAAGATCTCATTATGTGTATATAATGTTGCGTGTATATGTGTGTGCTGTTTAACTTAGATTTCACACTACTCATGTTAAAGAGACACGTGTGTAAATTGATGGTATGCCATTAGAAAGCTTCTTGTAAAACTATTTGTATCTTTATATAATCGACTATTACGTTTTTATTGAACTATTATATTTTAAATGGCGAAGAGAAAAAAATAAACGTAATGCTCTTATGAAAATTTGTCGACTTAACCGCAAAGCGCTTTTTAATTGAATTCATATAAAAATTTGATGCAATACGATGTTGGATGTTATTCAAGAAATGAATAGAAATTATTGCTATCGTGATATTACATTATCAGACATGCAGCAATTAGTAACGTGAGCATTTCACTATTCTAAAAAGAATTTGAAAAAGTTAATTCTGTATATGCACTAACAGAAAATAGTGCGACCCATATGGGGATAGTCGCGTGAAACATGAAACAGTTGTTTTTGATAATCACTAGATGATTACTTTATTTTATCGTTTTGCTTCTGAATGTATTTCTTCAAAATCTTTCAGGAGTCCAATAAACAAGTTAACGATTTCATAGCAGAATTTTCCTAATTGCTATTCTATTTTTACATAAGTAGCAATTGGTGGACATGATTATGTTCTATTTAATTTGAACTCTTTATTAGAATTATTTTTTTTTAAATAACATCGTCTCTCCAGGATAGATCTTAAAATAGGGACTTTTTTCCTTCATAGTGGATTAAATTGAATTACCAAATAACCCGACATATTGGTGGTATAATAATTCAGAATAGACGCGACGACCTGCATTACATCGGTAGTAGCTCATGTTTCTAATGATTATCTCGTGTCAGAACGAGATTTTTACATAATGATTTACATGAACGAATCATCATTCTATAGGGGTGGATACATCAGGTTATCGAGAAATAGTTAATATTTCTTAGAAAATGAACAATTACAAGCAAACATTTAAGAATTTGTTTTTTAAACTCACAAATTTTCAAAAAAGGCCACTTTTTCTATAAGTTATTAGCAAAAAATAGTGTTAAATTATTCTGTGGTTACTCATTGGCTGGCACACATTCTCAAGATTGATGGCAAACAGAAAACTAAAATATCGATGAATTTTTGGATAAGATTTACATGATTCATGTTTATTTCGTAGATATTTCAGTTAGCTTCTAAAATAAAATGGCAATTACTCATGCGTCATTCTTTCATACTAAAATCTCTCGATAATGCGGCTTGTTATAGAAAAAACACAAGTTATCCCACTAAATAGGATTTCTTTTTTTCCGTTTAAATGCACAAAGTCAGTGTATTCACTTATCTTATATTTTTCACAACACAATGTACATAACATTTGTGGGGGAGGGAGGGGGGCTTGAGTTTATATGGCAGCCGTTGTTCACATAAAATAAATTGTTATTGCTTGTACAGGCATAAATCAATTTCTAGTTACCAGAATAAGTATCTGTTGATAATTGAGTAGGCTGAATTCGTCAAAAATTTGTTATATACTAAAAAAAGCAAACTTTGATAAGAATGTTAATAGAATAGATACGACTATTTCTCTTCGCACAATGGACTGCGGAAGATCGATTGTTCTTTCATAATGGTAATTCAGTTAAAAATGTCGTGAATGACTAAAATATAACAACTGTTTTTCTTTTATCAAAAGTTAACTATTGATAAAAATGATTATGTTGAACTGAATAACTCGAACTAGTGGTCAGATGATGCACCCATGTGTAATCTGCTTAGTGATCATCTATAAATATTCTTTTCAATAATGACAATATGGTTATTATCAAGCACGCTAATGTATTATGTCTTGTTGTTACATTGACAAACAGACATGCCAATCATTCCAAAGTATGTTGTCTTGTATTGCTCTAATTAAACAATAAGATCAATAGACGAAACACAAAATACATCCGCCTTCGCATAAGAGTTTTCTGCGTCCAAGGTTGATATGCACATGTATATATATATATGTGTATGTTTTTATGTACTTTCTATTGTATTCAGCTATTTCATAATGATTGACCAAATATGCATATCGAAACAGTAAGTAAATGTCAAGAAAACTCTTCACGTTACAACCATACATTGGAGAGTATTGAAGACCGGCTACGATGAATTTTCAGGTACTCCTTTCATTTTATCTACAACTTTATTTGTATCGTCTGTTAAAATCTATTGATAGGTCTTTTCTAAAGAAGAATATATACATCAAAGGCTGAGAATTTTAGTGAAGGACTTTGTTCAAAGCAATATTCATAGAGACTAAAAGGAAGAGTTCGCTTTGATGTAACGACTACGACTCCCCCTATAAGTTCTGATAGATGAAATCAGTTATTCTAAGATCTAGTTTTGTTTTGGTAAAGATTCTTCAAATTAAGACGAGAAAATATCTTAAGGACTAAACAAATTTGGTTCAAGTGCGAAGTTAACTAAAAATATCTCTTTAAGCTAAATTACTTCGTGATAAATCACCAGCTAGGATATATGTTTCAAGAAATAGATAGAATCATACATCGCAGTGTTCTGATAAATCCCGAGGGAGCCGTCCTTTGCAAATAATTTTTTCGCTGAAAACCTGACAAGCGCTGCGATGCGTGGATAGAATAGAACACAAAATAGAAGGTTGTTAACGCAATCCCTTTGGGATTGCAAGTAAAACACGAAATAGATCCTTCTGTTGGTTATATAAATATGACTTAATTCTATCTTACGACGCATTTTATATAATTTAGTGATACATGATCAATATGCGATATTAGTTGACAATAGCTGCTACGGTCCACGATTTCTTTTTCATCATTCTATTTATCATTTTTGTTTTTGAACAAAGAGTTTATATGGAAGACATGCATGTCATAAGAGTGGAAATAGAATAAAAATATTTGTTGAAATTAAGAAAATATTGAAACATCATAAGGGTGAAAATGTTTCTTGACGGTTTATTGAACTCTGGATAAATATTATTTAGAAAACAAAAACAGCTATTAACTTTTCCCTATCCGTACGTTCGTAGAGATAAGCTCAAGAAAGTTCATAGGGTAGCATAGTGAACAGTGTTATGAATATTAACTAAGCAGTTATATCTTACAATCAATCATATTCGTATGATATTTTGTTTTTTTCGTAAGCAGCTATTTTCTTTTATCACTATTTATACAATTCGCTTTTCGTGTTGGTTTCATTGACTAGCATACATTGTTGTCCGAATAAAGTAAGAATACTTGTGGGCATGATAGCATTTACAAATAAGTTTCTATGTGTAATTAACAATCGTAGGTTGTTTCAATGGGTTCGTACAAAAACAAAATCGCACGTCTGCATACTTATATCCAGGTATATTGTTTTTCTGATGAGAATTTTTCAGTTTTCATGTTTTATATTCACCATCTTACTAAGATCGGTACATGATTCGTCATTCGTTGATTACTTAGAAGAAAGAAAAATTAACACAGATGTGTAGTATGCATGTGGCAAGAACGATAATCACTGTGACTCATTTCCAGACTACCTTCACCCCTAATCTTTTTACTAGCTCGCTTGTTTCATTTTTTTGCAATTGACTAGTGGAAAGTAAATCTTCCGTATAAGAAAACGAGTTATTGAAAACATGTTATCACGCAATCAATGTTGTTACAAAACTTTCATAGTGAAAATTAACTATGCTTTCCTGTGCAAGAAAAAGTAATTCAAGTTGAAAAAACATTCAATAATGTTGAACCTATTTTAACCATGATACAGACGAAGAGACATTTAAAAAAATATATATGAATAAAAGCACATAATTTTCCCGCTCATTCTTCCCTACTCGATACTTCGACTGAACTAGTGTTTTAACTTGTGTTTTTTCTGAAAGTTGAATAGCCATGTTTTTCAAAGGAAAACATGCGCTCCAACTGTATGCTATAAAGAAAACAATTTTCATCATAAAAATATCTATCGTGAATATTTTCAGACAGGATAAATTGGATATCAGTTTTAAGAAATTTCATTGGACTCGTCTCTTGACGGATTAATCTGTAGTACATGACAAAAGCAGGATTTAGAGATGTGCAGGGTAAGGTTTTCTCTTATCCTGTACCCTAATAAAGGAATTTTTGTTTACCATTATCCTACCCCACCTTGTAAAACTTTTATATTCCTTACCATTACCCTGCAAAATCGTTAGAACTGAAGAAATAAATACTAAAATACCATAAATTATTCGTTTGTTTCATTACAAATAATCTACAAAGCATCATAATAAAATCTTTTAAAAATTTCTTATAAACAAGGTATCGTCCACAATATCGTCACCTAAGTTTTGGCGTCGCTCTTCGAGGATTCTTTCAGTGGCACCGAATATTCTTGAGGGTATGGGTGTGGGTTTCGGTTCGGGTATATTCTTCACCAACATCCACACCCTCATCATGTGATGAATATAATGGCTTGTGAAATGATTTTTCTCATGTACTAATATATAACACCTGTCTTATCAAAGATTTTCTTTTATTGAAATATCTAGTCGTTTTTCTTTGGAGAATAGCAACTGTGATATCAGTGTGAAGCTAGCACGATGAAACAGAGATTCAACTATTAGTCTTCTCAGACGTATTGCCGGCCCATAAAAACCAGACCATTCGGTGCAGAATTTCATTCTGGATCAGATGGTGATACTTTTATTCCCCGGCAATACTTTGAGAAAATTCTATCCGGTTTTTCTTGTCCTATTTAGAAGAAAACAAAGGTGTAGGTAAAATTTTTCCTAAGTATTGCCGTGGAATAAAAGTATCACCATCCGATCCAGAATTAAATTCTGCATCGAATGGTCTGGTTTTTATGGGCCGGCAATACTTCTGAGAAGACTAATAGTTGAATCTCTGTTTCATCGTGCTAGCTCCGTCGTGCTAGCTTCACACTGATAACTGTGATCATGATAATTTCATACTCGTCATCTTTTATACTAATCAACTAAGTAAACAACATGTCCTTCAACTATTTCTTCAGTATAATAATGTAGAATCTATATGTTGTATGAAGCAGGTCCATCAAGTTTTAAGATTGCACATTTGAACGCTCTTGTAAATGTACTTATTTAGACATTTTATTATTATTTAGTAAATAGCTTTTTACCCGTTTGGAGTTGATATCGGTTTTTTTTGCAGAGAAAGAATTTTGACACTAATCCTGATTTTTCTACCAACATTGAATTTTTTCATCGGATGGGAATCGTAAAAGCTGTTTAATTTAAGTGAAAGTGAGAAAAAAATCCCAATTTTGCTGTATTAATGCATAATCTAAATCAGCACGTTTATATTTATACTTCATCAGCTGATAATTCTACTCAAATAAGAAAGCTGTCATTATTAACTCATAAGAAAAATTCATTGCATTTACAGGACACTCGCAGCGCCATTCTTGAAACTTGACATTTCACTGAACAAGAAAAAAAAACATTTCAATCAAATTTTCCATTACACAGGTTATAATATAATCCATTCTTTTCATACGCGTTCGACATTATACACAGACGACATAATATTTAAATTACTTAAACTAGCTAATAAGAAGACATCCGCAATCGTTGTGCATCCCCACACCCTCAAGTTCCGCTTAAAATTTTACCTATGATTATTTGTTCTACGGTGAATCGAATTACTTTGTCAGGTTCATTTGAACAAGAAATTCATTCTCATGAATTTTTTTATAATCAAGACACTCTTGAAATCAGTTAATAACCTTGAGGTTTAATCATTGAAAACGTTTCAGGCAACGCGAGACATGCTCGAATTCTGAGCAATTTCATTTTACATATGAGTTTGATGTCTAACGCAATTTGAAAATAATGCAAAGCATCTTGTAGATCTTTACTGTAAATGAGAGAGTCCTAAATTCTTTCTCTATTTTTCTGTTATAAAAAAATGCAATTAGTGCCACTCAGAAAAAGATCAATTATGAAAGAAATTCCAGGAGAAAACCTTTCGAAAAATTCTAACTGATATTAAATACACATCCTCAAGATAAAAAATTCCGTCTCTGACATGTTTTGTTTCTTCGATTTTTCTGTTTTCTTTTAGATAATTTGAATTAAATTGTTTAATCATTTTCAAGTATATAGAACTCCATATGATGAAATATATAGCAGTACTCCTTTATTTATCATTTATTTTAATTATTCAAATCCATCAACAGCAAGCTACTCCAATATATTTCTTGGACACAGACAATACTCATAATTATTCATCATTGTTGGATGAAACAATCAATGATACTGATCTTAGAAGACAACAACGTCGTAATGATCATTATTTGAAACGTTTTGCAAATGACCTTTTTCAATTCCAACAACATCGACGATTTGGTAATACTAAATACGGTCGTAGTATACATCAAAATTAGAAGGAAAAACTATCTTGTCGTATTGTATTCTTTGTTCTTTATATGATGTTGTTATTTCAATAATAAACATCATGTCATGATAGAAGAAGCATAAATAAATGCAGAATACAATGTGTTCAAATAATTATTGATTCAACTTGTACAAGTTAAAAATAAATAAAATGCCCTGTGAAGTAGATTTCTCCTATCGCAGACAATGTAAAGTACTCACTTGACATGTTTATTTTTAAAATAAAATAATAAGCACCTTTTGAAATTGATTATTGCGAGATATTTACTTATTCACTTTTGCGCCATATTTCAGTAAGATGTTACTGTTAGATCTAAGCTATTCATTTGACTGTATGAGTTTTCTCTATGCATTTAAGCACCAACAACGGGATTCTAAATTGTGAAAGAGAATATCTACGATATTAAGTGATCTATACTAGAGTTGTGCTGAATATAGATATCAAAAATAAATTTAACTTTGACGTATCACAATCAATAAGCTCTATCAATTTAACGACCGTAGTTATAGACGAATACACGCATGGTGCAGGTGCAGTTCTAAGATGTAATTACTTTTTTGTTATGTTCCGAAGTGATTCATTACACTGTTTGGATTGACATAATTAAAATATGCATTGAAAAACATGCGAACTGACGAAGATATTAAGCGGCAACAACTTCAACGAAATTCTTTTTAAAGATGATAGTATTTGTTTCTCTCAAGATAGCTTTGAGTGTGCGTCATAAAAATTAGATTAAACTTCAGGCAGTTGACTTTCTCTAATCAGTATATTGCTGTGTGATTTTCATTTAATACTGAAAAGATATCTATCAAAATATTCATTGTAAGCTTAGTTTACATCACAATCGTAGAGCAAACCAAGATCTGTAATAATTCAAATAACATGAATATTGATAGACAATTGAGAAATACTATTCTTTTTTCGTATTTTCGCCAAGTGTTGGATAATGGGTTTTTTGGTGCTATGTTGAATAATTAACCACAATTGAACAAGAACCAACAAAGCACACACACCCACAACAACACTACATCGCCCTGTTAGATTGTTAAGGAAAACACTACAATTCGTAATTGTACAGCTACTGAATAATTTGAATAAACACTCATTCACTAGAAATCTAAGGCTTGAAATTAAACGAAACATCAGCAACGCAGAACTCATCTATTATTAATCTATGTAAATCTTCGTGCGCGATTAGCAGTAAAGGGATGAAATTTCGCTGTGCCAATACAATCATTCGCTATGTTTGACTGCTATGGGCCATCTTTCACGATCGTTTCAGCTCATACGAAGTATACTGATATTTTCCTTGGTACAACGTATGTTTAGATGAACAGTTGAATGGCACTGATCGAAAAAAAAAATGTTTCTTTCCTTTCTTTCACGATGATACTTCACTAGTACATTCACCTTCTCCGTGCATATTATTGTCGTATGAAAAACTAGACAAGTCATTCGTCCAAAGACCAGATTATTTCCAGACAACTTTTTTTGTCTGGAAACAATATGACCTTTTCGATGTAATTTCGTTCGAATTTTTGCAATTAAACCTCCAGGTATATTTATTGGGTCTCGATGACCTGCTTCGATAAAACGAAATGTTTGCCCATTGGCACAGCCTGGTTCTATCTTAACTTCATATTTTGCTTCTTCAATTTCTGGTATCTGTTTATTAATAGCACGAATCCGCCGCTTGACAACCACATCACATGTTTTGCCGTAAAAAAATATCTTCTAACGAAACAGTAATAATTTGTTTAAAATCCGGATCTTTTACACGTGTCCATGGAAGATGTGTTAAGCCAAAACAAGGATCATTGCTCGATAATGATACATCGTTGATAGAACTATAATCATGAAAAATATATTTTTAGAAAATGAATTGATTCAAATCAATTATCTTTCATTTAAACCATACATACTCATATATTTAACAAAATCGATATTTCATAGATTCAGACTACTCGAACAAGTTTGTACTGCTGTAAAATATAATTTAATTGCGTGCTTAAAAGCTTGAAAATCAAAGTTAATAAGACTTTTAAATATGAATCTCACATTAATAAGTACATTATAAACCCAGTCGCCCATTGAACTCAAAACAATTGCATCACAAATGAATTTGTCAGTGGTTAGCGGCAGCGTAGACATGTATATTTTTAACTATGTGATCCGTCGCTTCTTTGAAAGTAACTTCATGATTCTAATGAAAAGCAGGAAGCCACTTCAAATTAAATTTATAGTTATATAGTTGAAGAATTCCAACGCGCATTTTATTGCAAAATACGATAAGTTTCTTGCTTATTTTGACAATTTTTATTTACTTTGACTGACGTAAGTCTCATATTTTGATATGTAAACGTCTATTCATTTATAAATAAAATCTTGTCAATTATGCTTTTGAATCTTGTTTAGCGTAAAAGACATTTATTTATTGATCTTTATATCAAACGAGCAATATACAATATATATGTGATGTTTATTTTGGAAGTTTATCTAATTTTAACCGTAGTCTTGTCATTTGATCACTACTTGTTTCCTTTTCTATTCGCGGTATATATTTCTCTCGAATAACTCCAAGTATTTTGATGAATTGATTTGCATATGATTTCACCATTATTTCAGCAGCTTCTTCGAGAAATACACGTATTAGAATCGATGTTATATTTGGTCTTGGTGCCAAATTTAACACATCAGCAAACCATCTCCATGCAAATTCTAATTTGTTATCAAACGGTGGACCACGAGTTATAAGTAATTTACAAAATAAACGAATAAGTCCATTCATTCGAACCAGAAATTCCGTTTCAGTTTCTAAACGACGTTGATCACCATCTTGTATTTCAATATAACCTAATGCTCTTATAAATTAAAAGTAAAAATTAGTTAAATCTAGTTCATAAATTTACTCTAAATATTGTTTGTCATTCATATGTGGCTGTCGTATTGGATAATATGGTACGGTATATGGACATTTTTTATATAGACGACCAAGAAAAATAGTACCAAATTCTGTGTGTCGTGAATCTTTACTAATCGTAGATATTAATGGTAGAAAAATTTCTGTTTTTATATCATTTAAATCACCACCGAGTAATTGAGCAAGAATAAGTGTTGCAACTATTGATAGACATAATAGGCGTTCTACATAAAGAATCAGTGCTTTTTAGTTTTTTTTTACAGACAAATTATTACCTTCTTCAGTTTTTATACAAATGGCTTGATTACTAACAGTTTTTTCTTGTCCATATAAAAATTGAAATAATTCGTTTGTTAACAGCTCGAACGTTTCTTTACGTAATTTATTCATAATGCCTTTTATATAGGATGCTAATTGTTTTTTACGCGGAAGGTCTACTATTGAATAGCGTATTTCATATTGTTGAGCTTCTGATGATAATTTTTTATATGTAAGTAATGTGTCTGGTTTAATATCACCAAGATCATTCATTGGTATTGACGGTGGAAATTGAGATGGATTGCTTGGTGACGATATTACTACAGGAGATACAACTGTCGACGGTGAAGGCACAACTGGTTGTAGTAAAGAAGCTACAACTTTTGGTGGCGAAGGCAAAGGAGTAGGTGGCTGCTAGAATAAAAAAAAATGCTATTGAAAATTAATAAAATTAGTACTTTTCACTATTGCCCTTAGTGTGACTTACTTGCCTGATAGTTATAGATATTTGGATGTAGGAGTCTCTGTTCTCCTAATCAAAATAAGATACTTCAAACCTCTTGAACATCTCCACTCATTCTACCCGAAATACAACGAGAACAATAGTAATATCATCAACTTTGCAGGTAATCTATCCAACATCTTTCGCTCTATTCTCATATACTGAAAGCATTGTCATAATTCTTTTCAAAACACAAATAAAAATAGGCGTACTGGATTAGAAAGAAATATTGATTGTTGTTGTGATAAACCACTCACTGGATTTGGTTGTTCACCGTCATCATGATCATTTTCTTCTTCTTCTTCTTCTTCTTCTTCTTCTTCCTCTTCTTCAAGATTTTCATCGTCATCCGTTGGTCGAAATTGATCAATATATTCTATCACATTTTCTCTAGCTTTCATCCGTGTTTCATCGTCATCCGCTTGATATTGTTGTTCGAGAATATACATAAAACGAACTAAATAATGCAAACATCGTCGTAATACTGTATGAGATCTCTCCTTACGTAAGTCATTTGCAGGGCCAATACTTTTACTATGAGTTTTTCTAAAACAAAAGTCTCAAGCATAATGCTGAATGCAACAAATGAAAATTATTATCATACGATTTAAGATGAACAGCTTGCATGCGTTTATTTTCTTTTGCTTGACTTTCTTCGAAGTTTTTAATAATATCTTCAATTCGTTTCTATTTACAAAACAAAATAGATCAGTAAAAAAGAGTTGAAACAAGAAAACGATTCTACTTACATAGTGCTGTAATTTATTTTCATGAATTTTATCCATTTATCTAGAATAAAAACTTGATTCTTTTTAATAAACTAAATATAACATGTCTTCTTAGAAAAACAGAAATTAAATAAAAATTAAAGTTCATTTGTAGTTTTCGATTGATCGCTTTTTGAGTTTGATTGTTGTTCAGCAAGACGAAATATCGCGTGATTATCAAGAATTTCAACATTTGGACGATCTTTTGTGAACGAATTCAGACACATAGCTCGTCCTAGAACATCAATGGGCGTCGTTAACCATTCTGGTGCTATTCGTTGAATTGTATAGCTTAGTATTGTTCGTGCCAAACGTTCTAATGGTCTGCTTTCAGCACGATCAACCATTAATACTCTAAAGGCAAAAATAAAATTTTCAACAAAAACATTTTCAAACAAAACTTACGCTGGCCGATAAATTGATAAACGATCAAATGACATTTTCGTGATAGCAGCTTCGGATTGGCCCTTAAGAAAATTTTTAATTGATTGATTTCTTCTTAGAATAACTAACAAAATTAATATTAAGCGTTTTCTTTTAAATCCTATAGTATTCTGCAATCTCTAAACCGATTTGGTCACAATAGGTCCATTAATGGTACTTGAAGAAAGGTCATAGAAGTCGAAAGCAATATTACTTTACTAAAAGAATTCATTTACCATGAATTGTCAGAAAGATAAACATGTATAGATCGATAATTATAAAATATGACTTCAAAAGTGTGTCTCAGAATGGTAAAGATCATTATTTTGTGTTACACAGTTCGTGTACTTCCGAATTTTTCTGTCGTACATACTTTTACTTGAGGATAAAGAAAATATGAATTTTCATTTGCGCCTTGACTTGATACAAGATGGAAATGTTTACAGCCGTGTTGCTTAGCAAGACGAGCTATACCAACAACATAATCATAGTCAACACGACGAAAACCTTCCTACAATGACATTAAGTTTTTGAAAAACAACTGAAATAATCAATTTCTATACTTACTGCTCCGGATTTACCTCTTGTAGTACCAAGACAAGAAAAATGCACATCAGCACCATGGAATGCTTCCGCATGATCGTCGATTTTATCAAAATCGATTTCACGTTGTTCCTAAACGAAAAGAATATCAACCCATGTGAAATGCAATTGATAATCGAGTCAATTAAATCTCTTCAGCAATGCATAAACAAATTATAACTAACTAATTCGATTGAGAATAACACCTAACAGCCGATTTCTTTTTGCCTTTAAGCAAATAACAATTTACCATATAAATGACTGTCATTTCGTCAAGTTTCATTGAAAACTTTTATCAATTATGTAAATAGTGAGCAAAGAAAATCGATATTTATATATGATTGATATTTTCGAACAAGTATTGATAAAATAGCGTTTTAGAAAGTAATAATTTTTCTTTTTCAATAGGAGAATGTTAATTAATACAATCCTTATATAATTCGATCATTTTAGCAGCAGAATTATTCTATAATCAAACTTATGTAGATTAGCTTTAATTTAATACCGTTTTTTCTAGATATTTATTATCAGTATAATCAACTTTTCGACGGCCAACAAGAATAATTTTTTTAAATTGATTATTACTTATTAATTCTTTAACAAGTGCTTTTCCTGTTTCTCCTGTATAGCCAGTGACCAGAGCAATTTTATCAGTAGACATCTTAAATAAAATAAAACATGAAACCAACATCTGATGACGAATATAATTTTAATTAATTACATTATCGTGTTTTCCATAAGAGAAAGAATATTTCATAGACAGTACGATTAAGTACAAAATACAGTGCATAGAACATTGCCCTTTTAGCATACTGCTATGATGAAACAAAATGTAACTATAGTATAAATATGATTAATAATATTCTACTTCTGTGCATTTTTTCTAAGCCAATAAAAAACTAATATGTCGCTAAAAGATAAATTATATTGTAATGCGGTAAGCGTGACTGTCAACGTTATTTATTTGTATCGTGTAGCGACAATAATCTAGATGTAAGATTTTAAAAATCCACATGTTTTTCTCTTTCTTACAGAAAAAAAGAACATTCCCATAATGCAACATTTACATTAAATATTTAGATTTTGTCAAGGGTATTTACTTACTTAGTCAGTATTTAATATATATCGCATAAGTTGTACACAATCTTTTTTCTCACCTAGATATCGACGAGCAGCAACAAGCCGTAATAATAATCAAGTATGTGTTCTTTTTAATAGAAAATTTTTTTTTTTATCAAAGTCAAGTGCGCAAATAGAAGATACCAAGGATTTCAGATATTTATTTAGAATAGGATATATACTATACAAACGGTATAGTACGTATTACTATTTTATGCGTCAGTCTTACATAAATAGTTTGTTTCTCCATAAAAAAAATAGTACTACGTAAGGCTATTAGTAAAATTTTTGTTTCCGTATGAAAAATTCAGCCAATTAAGAAATAACGTCGTTTTAAGTCTCAAATATTTATGCATAAATAAATAGTAGAATTTTTATCAAAGTGGGTATTTTCGTTTGAGATAGTAAGTTACGCAATCGTTTTCAAAAGCAAAATAAGAATGTCGTTTTAGCTTCAATATACATGATTTCAATTCGTTATCGTTTAAATTAAGATTATTCTATTTAATAATAAAAATAAATCATTATTGCAAAATTTCTAGGCGTAAAAAAACGTATTATTATCGAAAGCACAAAGGCCATCTATTGAATAGAATGCTTAGCGGATCTCATAAGTAGTTATTCGTCGATTATTTATTTTTTTCAGTGAACTTTAAGAATTCATCAGAAACTAATATTGATTTATGATTAGAAATCACATATTGCCATATTGAGCAGACCTTAGCCATGTGTAATGAATATAATGATCTTCAATTAATAAACTTGGAATAATGACATTACTAGCATCTGTTTATCTTTGAAACAGTAATAATACATTCTTCCAATCGCACTCTATATTGGATATTGGTCTTTCTAATTAGGAAAATGATTGTTCTAATAGCAAATAGTGAATCAATTATCAAGAACGGAAAGTGAATTAGTATAAAATATTCGCTTGCCATAGAATTTTCTCAATGTTGTATTATTTTAAGTAAAAAATTGTTTTTCTCTTTGGCAAGCTCCTCTTGTGTGACCTCCTTCGTATTATTGTTGATAACGACCCTAGTCGAATTTTTTTTCAAGCGCTTGACAAGACTTGAACTCAAGATGTGTCCATAGCGCAGGACCATCTTGCCCAAGAAGATCATGCGCATGTGCACAAAAAAATTATAAAAATTTTTGGTATAGGTAACAACGTTTTTCCTTCAAACAATGCTCATTTATAGAAGAAAAGTGTTCGATTTGGATGCCTTTTTTTTACAAAAATTTCTCTTATTACCCGCATATCAAGAAATATTTCAAGATGTGTCCATAGCGCATGACTTTCTTGCTCAAGATCATCAAGTATGTCATGCGCATCCCAAACGATGTTTGACTAGGGGACTAGTATCTTTAGAGGTCAAATTGAAGCAAGAGCTGTGATTATTATTTTTTTTTAAATTTTAAGTTTGATATTTAATTTTTTAAAGTTTCACGATAAAAATAAGAATGAATGAACTGTATTAATAGGGAAATTCTTGTTCTTGCATATTGAAACTGATAGCAGAGATATGTAATGAAAGAAAAAGATATTATCCTGATCTGAGTAAATATTAATGAAAATCGGGAGTGTTTCAGCTGACATAGGCATAAAATCACACTGGGAAATATATAATGACGCAGTTTTTATGCGTTTCTTTTTTGCACAGATAATGTTTAACGATCCGTATCATCAACTATAGGTGATCATTATTTAGATTATTTTTCATCGGAAAATATCGATAAGAGTATGTTTACAAACCGGTATTTTTATCGCGAAAACAACTAGACACAGACGGCGCTATTTTCTTCTTTTTCTGACCTTCATAGAAACATATTTTAGCATATACTTCTCCAATCATCATTGGAATAACCAAAAGAAAAACAACAAGTTAGTTTCTTTTCGATATTAGATTTTTCGAATAAAAATCATTTTTATATTTTTAACAAATATTTTCTACATGTTGACTCATAGTTACGAAAGAAAAATTCTGTACGAGCGCTTTGATCTGTACACAAATGCTTTTTTTTTTACTGAATATTCATGTAATTTGATTGTTAAAAAAAAGACCTATTTTAGAACCGTTTTAGATCAACTCTTTTTTTTCTGCAATACTAAAATCTTATTCATTTTAAAATTATGCAGAATAATTTTATTATGCGATGATTGTATTTAGGAATAGATGGCATTCGATTGCAAAATGCGATCCAATGCTTTGAATTTTAACTATCGGTAAAAATCGATATTCTTTAAAAGCCAAAAGTAGAAATAGTCGCGCGTTTTTTTCTATGATGAAATACAATAGATATTTACGCCTTTCAAAAGCCGGGTACTTTTGTTTTTCTTTTCCTTGTGATCGAAAAAGTCACATTTCGATTATTCAGAACGCAAATAAAAAATAATTTATTCGCTACGATGTAAATTACTAAAAATTTTCGAACGAATACTATCAATTGATATGCTAGTTTCAATCGATGCTTTTGTAAATTATTTTCGGAAGAAGTAGCGAAAAAAAAACGTTCCATATTGGTTCGATTTTACACTTTCATTGTTTCTCGTAGAATTACTGAATGCGTATAAGGAGTAAAAAAAAGCTAATATCTCGATGGTGATCCTCGAAAATGCTAATCTAGGAATAGTATTTTTTTACGTGAAATAAATTTATATAATTAAAAAGTGTGACCCAAAACAAATAATCTTTTGTAGAGAGAGGCAGAGAAGGGGAAGGATCAATCAATCACATTAAGAGACCCTTTGAGAATATCTATCTACTTCTTCTCGGTTGCACGAACATTCGGCGCATTGATCATTTAATTATGTTTGCCAGTCAAGGCCCGTAGAGTTACTCGTTCTTACATGTAAAATCGATAAATGTTAGCTCGAAAACACAGTCAAACTATTCATGCTACTTTTACTTTCAATTAACTTGAAACAAACGCCGACTAGAATAAGTCTCATTTTGTTTCTCTTCAGGCACTTGAGATAAACAAAGTAAAGCGTCCTAATTGAGATTAGAAAATGACGATGTGATCTCGATGTTTCCATAGAATATTCGAATGATTAATCTTTCTTGTGGCGATGTACCTAAAAAATTATCGCCCTGCATAAAAATAATTTTTTATGTTCCCACCTCGGAACAAGGAAAACTATCGGTAGATCAACTTTCGCGTGACTTCTTATTATTTGCTATATTTTAAATTACGATAAATTTGATTAAGTTATAAATGTTACTGTAGGAACTTCGAAATCAGTCGATTAGTAATAAATATTTCGTTTCAATCTATTCTTGTACATTTTTATTGTTCAATAATAAGGTTATTTCACTGTTTTATTGAGTGTAATTTTTTCTAAATATATATTTATATAAATGTGTGTTCATATGAATGCCAACGAAAAGTATTGTTGTATCGTGTGTCTTTGATTCTCTTGATTGATTTTATGATGACCTTGTATATTCTTTCGCCATCATCGCCTTCGTCGTTCTGTTCTACATGATATATACATACGTTGTCACCATCCAATACCGAAAAGAAACAAGTAGTTAAGTGAGAATACAGGCGAGCATCATTATCATTAGTATACACACATACACACATACACACACACACATTCAACGCGACGATCGATTCAGGTAAAAGATAGGCGAAGCGTGCTAATACAATGAACAGAAGCAAAGAAAGCGGTAGAGAAAAAAGAGAATAAAGTCGTTTACTCACAGCATTATCCACAATTCACATGTCAGACAATCGTATGATTTATATAGGTATTTCATCGTCCATCAATCATTATCGTTTGATGTTTTATAATACATTATCAATTGGTTATTTTTATTCTATATTATTTTGTTAGTATTACCACAATGGTTAGCTGGTACGTAAACGAAAACCGTTGCTATCTGTTTGAATGCTAAATTATAAGCTGTTTTTCTTTGTTTGTAAATTCTAGCGAACCGTATCATTCATATAAAGTTCCATTGAAAAATAATGGACAGTCGATTATCGAACATAATCTTGTTACAATATATTTCAGTTTAGAATGGCCTAATAATATTAATGATAATCCCAATCTTCTTGTACATATTTTTGATAAAAGTACCAATGAATACATTTCTTCTTTTGTTTCTATGCTATGCATAATTTTAAATATTTAGAAACAGCTCCAAAAACATGTAAAATTGAACCATCGATGTCATATATTCAACAGAATCAATCATCATTATTTGTCAATTCCATCAATCACCATCAACCACCACAGCAGCAGCTGCACCAAAATTTTGGATCAACATATCAACAACAATATAATAATCATTCATCAGTTATTAATAATGATCAGCCAACAAAAACAGGACTTACAAATGGCGATCATAATGATGTTTCATCAACAACAACCACCGTCGTGTTTAGTGGTATACAACCACAACAAATATCATCCATATCTCACCCACCACTTCAACAAGTCAAAACCGAACTTCAAACACAATTATCGCCAGTTTATCAACGTCAACAAACGCCAAGTTCACCATCATCATCGAGTCAACAATATTTATCATCGCAACATGTCATTCAGACACCATCATCTAATATTGATACTCAATCAAATTTACAGATGTCACCAATACCGAAAACTATTAGGTACATACTACTGATTCATCTTTACAGACATTTAGTGATCAAATAAATCTAGAGAAATCTTTTAATTTTGAAGAAAATCCTCTGCTTACAATCATTAAGATATTTCTCATTACAAGGACTACACCTTGTTTTGATTACTCTGATACTTTTTATTTTGATATTAGTCTATCACTAATAGATATTTTTTTTTGACGTATATAAAAAAATAAAATAGGAAAGGTAGATCTAATCGTCACGTTTCATCTGTTAATTAAACGAAAAAAGTTCTTCTAGAATGATAAGAATCTTCTAATTAGCTTGGTTGCTGTTTCTTAAAATAGAATAACTTTATATTCTTTCATTTTGGGAAATTCGTATTCAACATCATTTTTTTCTTCTTCTCTGTAGTCCCACATCATCAACTACAATTCCAACAAAGCAAACAATGACTCACGTGATCGATCTACAACAATCTTCAAGTTTATCTTCGTATCCATTATCGACAGCGTCGACATTCAAGGCGATCACTTGCAATTGCTCAAAAACAAATATTGCTCATGATAATAATTGTCCCGCATTGGCATTAATCAAATATCAATCGAATACAAATCTAAATACTCAAACGATTATTTGTCGGCCATCAATCAATCGTTCTATAGCTCAACGAGCTGCAGTTGCTTCACAAATACGTGCGAATCGTGCTATTTCAATGGCTCCTACGAAAGATCCCGGACAGACACCGCCAGCAACAGTATTACAATTTTCAATATCAAATACAAAACCATCGGACTTAGCATCAAATATATCAATGATTACTTCTCAACAACAACAACAATCAAAGTAAAAATTTTGTAGCAGCAAAAAAGTCAGTAAATAATTTTTATATTTGCTTTAGTTTTCCGACAATTAAAAAACCTATCGTTCGACAACGCAGTATTGGTTCAACAAATTCTCGTCAAAAAAAGAAACGTATTATCAAACAAGTTAGTTTGCCCAACGGAGCAAATCAAGATCAAGCATCAACAGCAGCATTTTTTAATCAATTCAGTTTAAGTATGCATCTTTGTGTTTGTTTTTATTTTAAAATTGAATATGTTTCTTAGATGATTCCAAACCAGAACAATCGTCATTTATGATCAAAGAAGAACATATATCTTCATCGAATCCAACAATAAAATTAGTTTCACCATTTTCAATTCAAACAACTGTGAGCAATACCGACATTGATCAAACTATTGATGATGTTATTAATGGTAAAGGTGACATACGACTTGATGATTCATCACCAATTCAAACAAAACGCGAACAACATCAACAGCAGCAGCAACAACAACAACAACAACAACCATCATCTCAACTTGTTTGGGTTCAAAATGGAACGGTAACAACAAAAACTTGGTTATCACCACTTTATCATAAACAACAGCAACAACACCAGCAACACCAGCAACAACAACAACAACAACAACAACAACAACAGCAACACCAACAACAACAACAACAACAACAACAACATCAACAACAACAACAACAACAACAACAACAACAACAACAACAACAACAACAACAACAACAACAACAACAACAACAACAGCAGCAACAACAACAACAACAACAGCAGCAACAGCTACAGCAACAATCAGTCTATGATGCAATTGGATCCGCTTTAACTCATCAAGATGTTGTGAATATTGCGCAACAAGTAATTTTCCCAACCAATACCGAACAAAATCAAATTCATATGGAATCGCAACCTTTAATAACGAATAATAGTAAAAAACGAAATCGTTTAAAATCAACAAATACGACAACAACAAGACGCAGTCGTAATCGCAAAAGTATTCTCGATAGACCGAATTCAACAGGCACTATAGCATCTTCCCAACAAGAAACTAACGATAAACCATCGGTAACTTCGCCTATAACACCGACACTCAATTTAATTAATAAGCCAATATCATGGTCAAATATTCCAACGTCATTATCATTAGGTCCCATCTCAACTAGAACAAATAACCCTTCCCTATTAAATTCAAATCACGATTTACTATCGTTTGATAAGAATGATTCATGGCAAACGCAATGCATTGAGAATGTTGATGCTATCTTAGATGAATTTCAACTTGTTTCTATTGATGAACAACGAATAAATTCGCATCATAATTTTGATTTCGATCTAAGTACTGATGGATTCCCATCGAAAACAACTGATCAATTTTGTTCTTCAACACCGCCACCACCAATGACAATTGATAATCAAAGATATGGCTTATCATCAACTGAGAAATTACACAATGCATCGATAAATAATTCTCGTTTAGTCTCGGGTGATGTTGATGTGTATGAACATTTTCTTAATCCACATTCTGCATCGATTTGGCAAGAAAATCAAGTAACATCATCAGTATCAACACCACCAGATTTTCATATTAATAATTTTCCTATGCAACAACACCAGCATCATCAGCAACAACAACAACAACAACAACAACAACAGCAACAACAACAACAGCAGCAGCAGCAAATGCAACAACAGTATTACTCATCTCAAACAGCTGAGCAACATTTTGATTCGTCTAATTTACAATCCCAATCAAGATTGTTATTCAATGTGCAATCGTAAATTTCATAGTTGATAAACTTTAAATTAGGCAACGAATTAATAAAAAAATGATACAATTTAAGTTTGTCTTTTTTTTAAATTTTCAATTAAAATTGTATTTTTACTTTATAATAATAAATTTATTTGTGTTAATTTTCGTTTGATTTAAGAAAATAGATATGAAACTTTTTACTAAATTATTCATAACGGATTCTAATACTGTATTGACTCTCGTGTCGTATGACAAGACTTTCAGATACAACCCTTGCATTTTCTTCATTAAAAAATATCTTAAAATCTTGTAAAAATATGGAAAATTGAAAAAAATGTCGAGCATTTTGCCGACGTTATATTTACGCTGTTTTTTTTGAATAAACAGTTATATCATTTGAAGATATTATCGAGAAAAATCTGTAGCATTGCTAATACATATATCAGGGATTAAATGATAAGTAGGTAGTCATGATTGATATGCTTTTGTAATAATTGTCAAAAGAAAATTTGATTTATAATGTGTAAAATGATTGTTATCACTCTCTAGTTCATCGAGTGCAAACGTGGAGAGAAAAAGCGAATTTACTTTGTGTTTTCATAAAATTCAAGAGAAATAACAGATTTATCTCTCATGTAATTGAAACCTTATTTTTTGATTAAAAATCTATAAATAATTTGTTTTCTTTCAAATAAAATTGTTGAAAGCATTCTGAAAATTAATCAAAACCCGATATGGATTCCTTCTATTGCTATGATGAATAGACGCGATTTAGAAGATCATCGTTTAAAACAATAATGAATTCGATTCCATTTTACGTATCAGAAATTTTATTAAAATCAAAACTCACGTTTTAAACCAACATCATCCTTTAACATAAAGATGCGACATCTCTTTTAATTATTCCATACTGAAAGTTAATTAAGTTTGATTGGAAGATTTGAATAAATACTGATTTTCGTTCGTTTGACTGTGTTACCTGCCTTTTTATTTATATATTTCACGGAGCGACAAGAAAATCTAATCGATTTAATTAAATGAATGCAAGTGATTTTCAAACCTCTCTATTTGTATCGAATCAACAAAAATCAAATAAACGTTCCGACACATCATCTAACGAAACTGATCCACTCGATAAACAAGAAACAAAACCCGTATGCACACGTTGTGGTACAACACATTTAATTGATATCACACATCACGAATTTCCTAAACAAAAAGGTTTGATATTTGAATGCATGTCATGCGGGAATAATTCGCTTCGATCAAATGTATCTGATGATGAACGACAACTTCGCTTAGCTATGGTTGCTGCTGATCATCTAAATATAACTGAATGCCAATTTTGCCAGAAACGTTTTCATTCGTGCGATGATTATTTGATGCACTTAAGTAGTGAACATGCTTCAAATAAGACACAGTAATTTGCTTGTAAACTGATATTAAATTTCGATTCCGAGATGTATCTTTGTAGAATCGTTCAGATAGAAAAGTTTCGTAGATATTTTTTTTGTTGTAACACATGCAAACAATCTTTTACATACTTTCTTATGCGTTTGTATGATCTGAAAATTTTTCACGTCTTTTGTTTTACGTGTACATATTTATTATTCAGTGTTAATGTATGTCGGACTAATAAAACTATCGTATTGATTACTACTAAACTGGTATAATAATAAAAGCTCCTTAATCTAATTTTTTATGATTTCACGATAAACAAAAAGCATTCGTGATGTTTGTTTTTTGATACAAGAAAAGATTGTTCTTCTGCAATGCATTTGAGGGCATCATTGAATCAATGACCCTGACCAAATTACTCATTTATTTGTCCTCGGCTTTTAAGATATAAAAAAAAGCTAAGATAGTTAATCATAATTATTAGAGAACCTGTAGACGAAATACCTTGACATATACATATTGCATCTACTTCTGATAAATGAATCAATGTCGTTTGAGGTTTTTGTAAATTACATTAACAGAGACAAGTAAAATCTCATCAATCATTTTCTAGGTTCTCGTTCAATAATCAGTATCGTTTAATGAAGAAATCTGTAATATTGTTCATCCAACGAGAGACTTCTGTTTTAATGAATGATCTATCCTAGTTATGCAATCAATCAGCGAACGAACAATATTTACTTCCGAATATATTTCAATGTGGTTTTATATCGGTCACGGGATGACATTAACCCATTACATCATGCGCAAATGCAGTATGGGTTTGCGCATGTTTTTAATTAAGAAAAATATCTTCGTAATGTAAATTAAGATAAAATACTGATATCTTGAGACAGAATCTGCATATTCAAGGACGGCTAACGTAAGTTTAGATGAGTACTTCAGAGTAACCGTGAATTGTCTCCTAATAGACATGAATCATAGATTGCCCTCTTTTCTCTCGGATGAATCCAGGGTTTTCTGTATGGATTATTCAATAAATATAAACGCTATCAACAAAAAAAATGTTCACTATCGAGCTGCCAGTTCCGCTAAAAAAAACTCTGTAAAGAAAGAGAGAAGACGGGATTCAATGATAAGAGAATAGTCAATTAAAAAGAAACTCACGGATTGTGGATGGCATAATCTTTGTAAACGGCTCCAAAAAGGTAAAGTCAATCAAATTCTTTTTGATATAATCGTATACCTAGCGAAAGCTAAAATGAATCCTAAAAGTAACTGTTAAAATCTGTCGAACGGCTAGCCTTTCGCTTCATTTTTCGAACGCTTCTAGCAAATGATGAGTCATAGATTAATTAACGATTGTATTAATGATTCGATATCGTTGAAAAAACAGAAGAATGCTCCTATTTAGAATTCTATGGAATAGTCACAAGGAAACTCAAAAAATATTTAAATCATCTTTATGAAATGTGGCGAATTGAGTACTATCATAAATTATCATGTTCTCTTCGACCAATATTCGATCAAGTGATTCATTTCTATCAAAATCTTCATCGGCCAGTCCTCAAATTGTTCACAAACAAAAACAATGGATATTTCGTAAAATTATCGAACTGTTTCTATCGTTTAATATCGATCGAAAAGAAACCGATGATAATACTCAGCAACATGCTAAATTAGTGCTACGTGCATTTTTTATTTATATGATTTTTGTCACCAATGTCTTAATTGTTGCTTTTTTATCTCAATCAAAACATAAATTTTTTATTACAAATGCATTTGAATATCATATAATTGACGCTCAATTTTCAGTTAAATCTACTTGGCTCGAACGAAATGTTCAATCTAATCCGTATAAGAATGCACGAAATAAATATGGCGATGCGTTCATGATAGATTTTAATCGAATTGCTACAATTGATGACGTAAATAGTTTATTGAATTTAAAAATTACCACAAAAAGAAAAAAAACAACTATAATTTAGATATGGCAATTTATGAATCAAACAATTGGAAATGTTTTCTATCGTTCTCACATATGGCAATCGAATCCAAATGTAGCTTCTCAACGTTCCATTCGTTGGGTACTTGATCATTTCTTAATGATCGGCGTTATTCGAATGAGACAAGTTCGAGTTAAAGCGGAAAAATGCAATATACCAAAATCGTATTCCGATGAAATAGCCGATTGTTATCCAGCATATTTATCCAACAAAAAAGATGTCGACCCATGTAAGTTTTCTATTCTTTGCAATTATCTTGGGTCTGATAGTAATGGTACCGGTTGCAACACGCCTTGCTAGCGTATGATTACTCTTGGCTACTGTTTCTGTGAGCCATAGGAATAGAACAGATTCTAATTTTTCCATCTCTCTAGTATTGGAGTAAATAATATGTAGGCCTTTTTATACACCACTCTAATACTGAAACAAAGCTAAATCTTAATAATTACTATTATTCGCACTATTGGGTATGGATTAAAATCATAGTCATGACTGGCAAATTGATTGATACTTAAAAAAAGGGTCCTCTATTACTTACGATAGACTTATCTTGTAAGAAGGATCTCCTGTCACGACCAAAATTTTACGTCTTCTCTTGAAACGATATAAAAATCAAATCATGAGTATTCTCAAGATTAAAATCTTGAACATTTCGTAGTTGGTCCTATCAAATTTCGTGATAATAATGAAATTAATATGAAACAAGCATGGCAATATATGCCAGCGAATATCACCGGAATGGATTCACATACTGGTCAATATGGTACATATGATGGTAGTGGATATGTAGCTGATCTTGCTCAATATGATCGAACAAACAAACGTTTCACAAATGATTTGAAGGAATTAGAAAAATTTCATTGGCTTGATAAAGCAACACGAGCAGTATTCGTTGATATAATTACTTATAATCCAAGCGTTAATTTATTTTCTTATATAAAACTTATTTTTGAAATGCCACCGACAGGCGGAATATTTCCTTCATACAAAATTGAAAATGAACAATTATTCAGAGTAAATTTTAAAATGATTCGAAATTCTATTTTTTGCTTTGCTTTTTTACTCTAGTATGTAAATTCATCGAAATATGTTCTTATTGGATGTGAAATTATAATTGTTACATTTACAATAGCATTTCTTTTTATTGAAATCGTAAAAGTCATAGAATTACGGTGGAAAATTTTTCTCGATATTTGGAATTGGATTGACATTATTCTTTTAGTAAGTAGAGATCTTAGAAGAAGAAGAAGAAAAGGTCTATTAGCATATTCCTCTTTTAGATTATCTTGATTTTGATGATTATTGCTAATATACGTCGTGTTTTAATTATTAATTCTACATTACATGGTAGAATGTCGATATATATTTCCACATTTGATGATTTAACTATTCGATTGCTACGCCTTCAAAGTTTATTTGATATCCTATGCACTCTCCTTACATCTATTAGTATTATACGTATATTGAAATATTGCGATTTTGCTGTAACACTCGTCCGAATAAAAGCAACAGTTCAAAGATGTTTCGGAGATCTTATTGGTTTTCTCGTCATGTTTGTTGCAATTATGATAGCTTATGCACAAGTAAAATAAAATATGAAAGAGTCCCTCAGGTCCGGTTGTGAGAAACTTCTAAAACATAAAAAATTCATCCGAAATTTTTGCAGCACTCGTCCATTTTTTCTGAGAACGTGCCATTCGAAAGAGCATCAAAAACATCAAGATTGACGACCGATAATAGGATTGATTTGAAGAAAGACATGATGTATTTTATCTATCAATCAATGACTACTTGATTGAAACATACTGTCAATAATATGCGGATCAAATTAGTTATTTTTATACTAGAATAATTTCTATTTAGTTTGGCAATCTAGCACTTGGCCAACAAGCTCAAGCATTTTCAACAGTTGGTAAAGCGTTTGTCGCACTTTTTCGTACCGTACTCGGTGATTTTGATTATGAAGCTATCAGTGATGCTTCACCCATTATTGGACCGTTATTCTTTTTCTTTTGTAAGTGTTCAATTTGTCATAAAATTTTCTAAGCAATCATTCTATTTCAGATATATTCTCTATGGTATTTATTTTATTCAATATGGTTTTAGTATGTATTAATATTTATTCTTCATTATGCTAAATCGATTAATTCATATAGGCTATTATAGTCGACTCCTATGAAGAACTCGGTCATGAACATCGTGATATAATTAATCGAATGTCAATTGATGTAACACCATTTCTTAAACATTCAATTCGGAAATTTTTTCAATGGCTAAGACTTTGGAAAAAAGTCAAAGTAATTGTTCAATTTATAATCAGTGCTGAAGATTCATTCAATTCAAAAACAGTCGCAAATCTTTTACAAGAATTGAAATATTCTTCCACATCGTCGTTATACGATGAACTTCGACGCGCATTTGCGCACGATCTAACAAAATTAATACCGAAAGAAGATTTTGTAGCCTTTCTAAAATATGCAAGTGATGATAAAGATCGTCAACGTGATGCATTGCAAAGTTTATTTTCTGGAAATATACCGTTGCTAAATTCCAACGAACAACAAGAATGGAGTGAACGTGCAAGAAATCTTTGTACAATACAACAATGGTCACAATTACGATATCGTATAGCACGTTCAGAAGAATTATTTGATTTAATCGAAGGAAAAATCGATTATATTATTCGAACATCAGAGAATTTACTGCAAAATGTAACGTCATCTCTTGAAAGATCAGATAATGAACAATGAATAATTAAATCGTTGTTCTCCTATTTGATTATAGTTGTGTACTTTTAAGTAATTTTGTCTGCGTGAGTGAAAAATGTTTCTTTTCTTTTTTCGTAAAAATCATTATGTCCAATGTTATTAACTTATCTGGATTTGATTTCTTATGTCATTGCGATATATCAATCAAGTACAATAATGAGAATAGAATACAATGTCTAGACTTCATTCAATAGCGATGCTAGCTAACAAACTATACTCTTCATTGTTTATCAATTTCGAACTATGAAATTAACTTCTTTTTGTTTTTTCCTCTCAAAGATGAAAGATTTTCAACCTCGAATTCAATGCATCGATCGATCTATACACTGAAAAGTAATTTTTCATATTACAGGCAAAGAATAGACAAGGCCATATCGGTTTTGATAACAAATCAAACTATACCAGTCTAGTCTAATTATTCTTTCTACTGTCACATGAAAATGTCAACGACACACAAGAAAATCCTTGTATCTTGTAAATGTAGTCTATTCTATAAATAGTAACTTTCATTTAAAAAAATGTTTTTTTCATTAATGAGAGTACAAGTTTCAATATTATATTTCATTATTAAGTTTCAATCAATCAACGATTTTCTGTCATCAAATTTTTATATTTTCTTCTCTCTCTCTCTCTCTTTTTTGTTTCGCAATAGGAATGATACTTTTATTGTTAAACATATGAAAGAACTTGCATCAAGTAATCCCAATGTACATGCATTCTGTAAATATCATTAAGAGCTCTCGCAATGGATTGGACATGAATCTTGTTTTCACACTTGCGACAAACAAAGACAGATACACTAACTATGTTTTCTTCTGTGAGTTGACAAAAGGATATAAAGACATAAAAGAACGATTAGAAAACATAGATTGAAGCTGCAGCGCTCAACAGAGTATTGTAACAAACACAAATTTTACCCATGAAGTAACCTTAAGAGTCTTGAATTATTTTTCTTCCTCGTTTTCATCGAGGTTTACAAGAGTGTTCTTTTACTGTTGCATGTCGATTTCCGAAGAAACATTGAAATTTGCCCGCTACTCTTTTAACGATCTCATTATGTCACTGCCTTGAGTTTTGGAAATATAGCTTCAGGTTCATACGTAGTAGAAGCACGTCATCATATTCATTAGCATAATTATTCTGTTCATGTGCCAAACGCTTTAATGAACTTCATCTGAATATTGAATTTTTTCACTAAAAATATTTTTTCTAACAAATTTTAATACTAGATAGTCAATCGCGAATTCAGCGCTTTAATTATCAAATAGATTTCCTTTGCCTAAAAATGAATGTAGCCAAATGAACGGCGGACGTCCGCTTTCGTTCTTGTACTATTTTATAATTCTAGTAAATTATTATATCCGGTGTTCAGCGTCATCTACGGCCTACGAAACGCTGAATGGATAGAAAAAGACAAGGAGAAAAGAAATGTGGTCAGTTAGTAAGGGTCCATTCTTCTCGTTTACTATTCACTTTTGTAGGTTAATGTCGTTTGTCTTTTCTTTCTAGCGTGCCTACATGAATTTGATATAAAAAAAACCGCAAGTAAAAGCTTTTCTTGTTTAAATAAGATAAAATAGATTTAGCTCCTATTGCGAGAATAGATATATTTACTATTTTTTGCATGCATTCTTTATATGGCAAGGAGAAATATCTTTAATTTTATTAATATTCTCGTTTGTCGTTCGATGTCTTCATTAATTGGTTCTCTTGAGATTGCTCATTTTTCTTTCAGCTCTTGATTTAGTCGACAAGTCGAAGGAAAATAGCAGTGCGCAACCTCGTCACGTGCCATCTAAATCATGTTAATATATTTGAAAGACAGAAACAAGGGAGTATAATGTCTGTCATTGATGTTTATTTTCATCGTGTGTATGTGCTCTGTGTGCATTTCTTCAATCATTCTTCGAAAACTGAATGATATTGACCATGTGTTAACTTAATTTTAGTTTGCTTGATTTAGCAAAAGAAAGCGGTGAGAGTTCATGTTGAACTCTTTCATCGTCATCACGTTCGCTCAATTTTTTTTTCATCACCACCAGATGATGAGATTCCATTTGCATTTTTCTGAGTGAGTTTGTCGTAGTTACTTTTTTTCTATTCTGCTCATTTTTCTGTGCGTGTGTGTCGATGAGGATCAAGTATTTGTCTGGGCGCTCGTAGCTGCAGTAAAGGGGTGAAGTAAAGAAGGACGGCGAGAAGAGAAAAAAAAAACGAGTCGGGCAAGTAGAGAAAGTAATTTTGTTTTCGTACTATACTACTATTGTGGTGCGGCTGACTCATTCTTGATTGAGATGGAAAGAAAAGACAAAGAACCAACGACAGACGAAGAAGAAACACAAAAAAAAAACAAGAAAACACGAAGTATTTCATTCATTGGTGTGATTAGTATCGTGAGCTCTTTAAATAATTTTTTCTTTTTTTTGACAGTCAAGTAAGATATATATATATAAATATATGTTTCTATTTTTTCTTGCTTCAATAGCGCATATACTTTAATAGGTTATTTTTTAGATATTAAGATGGTTATCCGTTCTATACTTCAAATATTAAAGCAATTAGAATGTAACTTCTGTCTTTTTTTCTCATAAACTTATATATATATATATATATATAGATGAGATAAAAAAGAGACCATCCGATAATCAATTCATTAGTTCATTTATGACAGATGTCGAAACGGGAAGAATGAGACATACGACATGAATTAATCATAAGGTCATAGTTGTATTTATAATTATAGGCTAGTAGAAATATTTCATGAAATCGAAACTTATTCTATCATAAAACAATAGTTATTTATTTTCGCTGCATTAATGAATTCTATTTCCTGTCAGTACATGTATATTCTACAGATAGTTGAATAGGTTAATATCTATGCAGTGAAATGCGTTTCGTTTAGAACAAAGGCGAGATGATTGAATAGAAACAGGTGCCAATAATAGAATCATTGGATCATCTAAACACGTGTTAGTAAGGTTCAAAAGGTCAAAAGAGGTGTGAAAAATAATGAGCCGTCATAAAACAATAGGAGTAGTAGTAGTAGTACATGACACATAATACATTTCTCATGCAAACATTCGTCTCCTATAGTTGTTATATTTCGTGTACAGAGGGCATCTGTTTTCAGTCACAAAAAATTCCCTATATTTGATTGAATAAACTAATTTATGATATACAAATAGATGCATTCAATGAACTATTCTTATGTTTATAGTTCACAGCATTATCATCGTCTATCCCGCCCCGTTTCGCATCTGTCATCGTATTTCTTGTTTTTTTTTATTCATTAATAACTATCATTTCTAATGATTTAAAGTGGTTCGATTCTTCTAGATTTCATATATATATATATACACATATATATATATATATAATCTTCGAACGATTATTCATGTCGGATCATAATTTAATCGATGAACAACTCGTTTCGTTTGATCAACAACAGCCATCACCGACAAAAGCAAAAGCAAATGATGCATTCGAAAATCGTCTATTAGATGATATTGATCCATTCGGTAATTGTAATGGACAAGATAATCATCAGAATGGTACGAATGACAATAAGGATTCTAATTCAAATCAATTTTCCTTAACAAATGATCTTTTTCCAGTCGATTTAAATGAACATAAAAGTATTAAAAATGAATAGCAAATATAAAAAAACATTCATTTTTATTTCATATTTAGATGTTAACGATACAGTTTCATTACATAACAATGATGATTCTAATAATTCATCGATCCATTCTCTATCTCAATCGAGTGGTAATGTTGCCGACAAAAATGCATTATTACTTGAACTTGATCCTGATGCTCCACCACCTGTACATCTCACGAAAACGGATACACCATCGCCAAATGATCCATTCAAACAATTTTCTAATATAACATCTCAACAAGATAATAGAATCGATGCTCTTCTCGATTTCGGAGGTTCAAATGATGACGACGTCAAGCAAGAACAACACATTAATTTAGCAAGCTTTGATAATCTGATTTCTGACGTTCAACAATCACATAATGATGAAAATCTAAATTTATCTTCACAATCAAATGAATTACAGCAGCAACTATTACGGCAAGCATCTGTAGAATTTGATAATGCAGCACAAGAATTAGCAGAAAAACTTGATTTAATTACTACACCATCCCCAACAATAACATCTGCTCATGAACAACGGCCAACGTTCGATACTACTGAACTATCATCTGTAACTGAAACTCAATCTGCTGCTGCTGCTGCTGCTACTACTGTTACTACAACAAAATTAGATTCAACTGTATCACCAGCTAAAAAACCTGCATCTAATATAACACGGCCAAGCAGTGCAGTGAAAACAAAGCCAACATCAGCAACATCAAAAAGTACAGAACATAAACCAGCTGCTGCTCCTGCTTCTGCTACTTCAAAGAGCACAGAACATAAACCAGTCACTACCACAACAACTAAAGCCACTGAACCAAAACCAGCAACACACCCAACTCGTAAAACACTTCATCCAGGACCAGCAACTAGTGCAACAGCTTCTAATAAATCAAAACTAACACCTACTTCCCCAACGCAAGAATCATCAGCAACAGCAGTAGCAGCACCAAAACCAACAGTAAATATCATACTGTAAAGAGCTAAGAAGTTTTTATTTTATTTTTCTCCTAGCGTGATGCTCCAGCTAAGCCCCATTCAGCTACAACAAAACCAAAACTACCCGCTGCTAGTTCTGCTGCATCATCAACGACTACCACCACTACCGCTACGACGGCGGCGGTGGCAGCTCGATCCACAGTCAAACCAGTAACAAAAACAGCTCGTCCTTCAACAGTTCCAAAAACTTCCGATTCAAAAACAACCATACTCTCTACTGCACCGGAAGGTAGTGCTTCATCAACTACTGTTCCGGCAGCTTCAACAACAAAACCAAATGTACGGCCACCTCAATCGTCTACTAAACCACCGACAAAAGCAGCTTCAAGTACCACTGCTTCTTCATCTTCGCATGCTGCATCATCAACTGCTGCATCACGTATAACTGCAACTACAACTAAGCCAACCGTTCCAAAACAACGACCAACATCACATACTCGTACTACAGGTAAATTGTTAATCTTCCTTTCTGTTGTATATCAACTAAATATTTTCTTCCTTCTTTAGCTTCACGGCCATCGACAGCAACTCATACATCGACTACTGCTCCACCAAAACGTTCGAGTAGTGCTAGTCGTCCATCAACAGCTGATGCCTCGACGCGTGCATCACGTTCAACTGCAGCTGAAGGTGCTTCAGGAACAACGGTAAAACAGAATAAATCAACATTTTACTATTGCCATATTTATACTCCGCATATTTTAGGTTGTTAGTAGTAAACCACAATGGAATTCTACTACATCCAAAGTTGGCTCTCTTCAAAATACAGCACATAAAGCTGGAGGTGGTGCTGCTAAGGTAAATTAAATTAAAATAGTACTGTTGAACAATCTACGCGATCTCGTTCATTGATTCTATTCGAGCACTTTAATTTCCATCAGAAAAACTAGTTTCGATCGATAAGTATCGTTTATTTTTGCTCGTTTCTATTTCAATATTCAAATGGCGAGTGTCAGTTGCGATAGTCCCTCATTATCCTTAATCTCTCTATAAGCTCCCATTATTTTACCTAAAGTAATCATGTATCATCTGAGAGATTGTCTGTTGTTTTCGTTTTTGTTATCGAAACTATTCTCGTTCTAATAGATCGCCACGCAAAAATTACAATGGACTGCAAAATCAAAAATTGGTTCACTTGAAAACGCTCATCATAAGCCAGGTGGTGGTGCAGTTAAAGTATGTTTTTTCTTTCAATTTTCAATACGTTAATTGGCGTTATTTTTTAAAGATTGAAAGTAAAAAACTTGATTTCAAAGAGAAGGCTAAACCAAGAACGGATACTGGTAAAAACGAAACAATGGCATCAGGCGACGATGCAAGTGCTAGTGCAACAGTTAATGATGAACATCAAAATCACGATGAGCCAACAAATGAAAATGCAAAATCACAAAACGCTGAGAACGGTGACAAATAAAAACAAGTGATGATTATGAAATAATACAGAACATTTACTGCATTTCGTTCTTTTTTCTTTCTCACACTTCTTATTTAATCTTTATAAATAGTTCGCTATCATGATCATTGTCTGTAAAAATTAATATTTAAAAACAAAAAAAAATTCTTTTGGCATACTCTACTTTCTTTTTTCCTTTATCTCTCAATCTCTGTGTTTTTTTTTTGTTCGTGATTGCATTATTCTAAAAAACCTTTGTCTCGTTCATTATACATAAAAACTGATGGAATAGTTGAAATGTTCTTCAGTCGTGTTAAAAACATGTTTCTTCTTAATAACATCAAAATGTTCTGCTTCTTCTTCTATTTCTCTTTTTTTTAGAGCTAGACTTATCTTTTCTTTTTTTTTTGTATCATGATCCAAACACTTTCTTTTCTCTTCAAACGTACTTGCTGGCTGTTAAGAAAGAAAGAAACGACAAAAAATATATTTACTAATATCTCTGTTTGACTTAATGTAAAGCATGAGTGAAGCAATCGTTAAAATATCGTTTTCTTCTTCTAATGTATGTACACATGTTATTAAGCGCGTGGATGCGACTGCTTTAGAACAGGAAAGAAACTGTCAAATGATTATTGTTCTGTAGTGTATCTGCAACAAAATACTCAACTTCTATTCAAAAATAGGCATCGAACAAGAAAAAAATGAATGTCTAGCATGATTCGTTGGACTGGACAGTTTGGTTACACTCGTTGTTTGTCTAGACGCAACTGATTCTAGTACAGACACAGGAATGTTTTGAACATTTATCTTGATATTGCAATGAAGAAAACCGAACAACATTTGTGACGATTATTAGCGATATTTTATATTGGCTTTTTTATTTACATTGAATCGTTTGTCAATACGACCAATCCTAGAATCATGTGTTTAAAAGGGCATGCCTATTACTTGCATCGGAACGTTTATCCTCTCTTTCACAATATTGTCATTCAATGTTAATCAGTGAACACTAAGAAGAAAATTTCACAAAAAAGAAAGAGATTTGAATTTTGAGCTCTCATATTCTTCTTGTGTGAATATTATGATAACCTTCTCAGATGTATTTGATCAGATAAAATAATGCTTTCTCTTTTCGAGTAGGATGTTGCCACTATAAATATTCAAGATTATGATTCATAGAACTCACTTTTCTATTAAGATAATGAACGAAATTAGACTAAGTCTCAAATTTCATATCAAAACATACAGCTGATATTCTAGTTTAGGCTCGCTTGACCTTATTTTTTTCTCTTCTAATCGGATTAAATTATACTGATCAATTTACATGTCACATTCAAGAGAAATAGATCCGTACCATCGATATCATATTTTCATACAGACTTGAACAAATGAAAGATTAATATTAAAATCAATATAGAATCCTTTAGCTATAAATGATGTCATCAATAATACGTTGCTAGATATTTAAAAAAAAAAGAAGAAGAACTTCTCGTGTAGTCTACCATTCGTTTGAAGTAATTAATAGTAAAATGTAATGACCTTTTCAAAATAAAACCTCATTTACTAAAGAATAATTCCACTTTGTTGTTTATATGTTTGACGGTATTATTCATTTTTATGCATAATTAAGAAAAGAAAAAAGAAGACGAAAGGGATCAACATTACTTCGTTTTTTTTTTGTTGTCTATTGTTGACCAAAGATAACAAAAGCAACTGTTCGGATTTGTATTGAACTTATTCTCTTTTTCGTTGGCTTATTCTTTTATTTCTGTCTCGTTTTCTTTCTTACCCCGCGACATATGTATTCATATCAAACAGATCGTCATCTTAAGATCAACTGTAAACTGTCCTTCAATCAACAATCATTTATAGTACGAGGGGAAGAGAACGACGACACTCATCAGTTGTTAGATGAAAGTTGAAACCAAATATAAAGAAAACGTCGAACCTTGAATCGATTATTGTTTCAATTAGATAGACAACATAGACAGAATTTATCTTGTGTGTCGAGACAGAAAAGGCAACAAATAGAAAATATGTACTATGTAAAACAGTCTTTTCTTGTGTCTATATTCAAGAGATACTAGGCATTTAAAAAAACCATGCGAAAGTAAGATGACTTATAGTATTTCTTGTTGGTCAAGAAAATTAATTTTCATTATATTCAATAGAGAAACATTATCGTGCTTTATTCTTATTATTTCTCTTCCACATATATACGGACATGGGCGAATGGAAGATCCACCTGCTCGAAATGCTGCATGGCGTTTTGGTAAGTGTTTTTTTTCCTGAATAAAATTTGTCGTTAGGAATTTTAATTTTCTAAGGTTTTAATGTTCCCGCTAATTATGATGATGTTGGATTAAATTGTGGTGGATTAAGTATTCAGAAAGCAAATGGTAAGTCTATTTTATTATGAAATTTAATGCAACTATTTATTAATTTATTAGGTGGTAAATGTGGTGTTTGTGGTGATTCTTATTCGGGCTCACGAGATCATGAAATGGGTGGTAAATATTCAACGAATGTTATTGTTCGACGTTATGCTGTTGGCTCCCTAATTGATGTAAAAATTTTAGTAAGATAGAAAAAACAAAAGAATTCCTTCGAAGGATAGTAAATTTATTCTTACAGTTAACCGCAAATCACGTCGGATTTATGGAACTTCGCCTATGTCCATCGTACGATTCAACTGTTGAAGTAACACAAGAGTGTCTAGATAAAAATCTTCTTTATATCGATGGTTTTGGTACACAATATCCAGTGAATGAAGGAATAGATTCAATTTTTTTAAGGTAAATACAATTTTAATAAAAGCATTCTTGATTTTGTTTTTTTCGAAAATGATAGAGCTCATTTGCCACCTGGTTTATCCTGTTCTCACTGTGTATTACAATGGCGTTATCATGCAGGAAATAGTTGGGGCACAGATTTTATTTCAGGCAAATCGTGTCTGGGTTGTGGCCATCAAGAAGAATTTTACAAGTAATTATTCTTAACGTCTCTAGTGATTTCAAATTGTAAACAAATTCTGTTATTTCTTTTCCAGCTGTGCTGATATTAGTATTGCTTCCAACGATGATAATAGTGATTATGATAATGATAATAATCATATAATACTAGCATTGTCAGAAACAACTACAATACCTCAACCATTTCTTCTTTTTCCATATAACGATCCGGTTGTTTTTCCTTCGGACTATGAACGCTTTCCTATGTTTGACTATTCAACGACAACTACGCCACCGCCACCACCAACTACTACTCCTGTGACGATCAATCTTATACATCCATTGAGTCCACCGAACGAATTTCTCCAGCAAATGAATAAAAATAATAAAATCCGCCGATGTTATCCAACCAACGAAATTCTTAAACCAATAATTGGTATCGAAAATTGGTGTTTGCATTTATGTGCTGTACATTGTCCACCATCATTATGTGCTTGTGTCGAAATATAGAAAAACAAATCTTGTATTAAGAAAAACCGAAGAGACAAAAATAAAACTGTTTTACACTGTTATTCGATCAAATAATATTGACATGAGAAATAATCGTGTGGCTTTTTTTTGCTTTTATCAGAAAAAGAAAAGAAAAGAAAAGAAAGACTAATCATTTGATTTATGATTAGCAAAGTGTATGTTTAATTTAGGTTAATAATATGATTGTAAACAGTGTAAATGTCATTGTCATTGTTTTTGCGAGTGTAGAATTTGAAGTCGCCCTATGTCAGACATGTCATCGCGAAATTCAGACGATAATCTCAACACAATGAATTCGTGATGATGGTTTATTTTTCATACTACTTTGAAAAGTATATGATTAATCCATTTCGTATAATGAAAATAATATTTAAGGATAAAAATGTCCATGGGATAATTTTCGCATAATAGTTTTTTCCTTCTGTGGATTATCTATTATACCGAACAAAAGAAAGAAAGAGAACGAAAGAAAATTTCGGTGAAATAATGCGTATACAAACAGAAAATAATACGAAGAAATGTCCTAGTCACGCATACATCGATCTAATTGCTTTTCACGTTGCTATTTCAAATTTACAAAAAATAATGTATATTCAGATATTACTTATTTTTAGAGAGTTATGTCGACTACAATTCTTCCAGATATTTACCGTCATTTTGCAAGAAAAAGTACTGTTTCACGAAATGTTAAAATTTCACCGAAAAATGTGCCTCTATGTAATTCCACGTTCACTCTTGATAGTAATTCTCAAGTGACATCATTAGCTTTTAATCGAGTATGCAGTGAAGTAAAATTAGGCAGCGATGTTCAACAAAAACAAACATTTCTTATGTTACCTGATAATGAAACGGAAGAAATGATTGTTGAACAAACAAACCAAGAAATTATTAGCGATATAATTGAACAGATTCAACAACAGATTCCTGATGATTTTACAGATCAAGTTAATCATAAATTATTATCATATGTAACTTAGAAGAATCTGTATTTTGTTTCTTTAGAAAAGAACTTCAAATAAAAGACGAAGTATTTCAATAGATATTCAAACTGTAACTGATTCAATTCTCAATCGTTTGGATGTTAATGATAATGAATGTAAGTTTTGTATCTTCAGTTTTATTTTGAACAAAAAAAACTATTCATTTGAAGCTTCGTCAACTACAGATAATAATCAAATGAATGATGACGCAAATGGAAGTTTAAATGAAGATTCTTCGATATTTTCACAATCGCATACGGATGAAGATACCAGAGAAATGGAAAGTATGGTCATTGTTAATAATCTTCTTTTTTTTTTAGTTGTTTATCACATTGTATTTCTAGAATCAGCATCTGATATTCATCCATCATTATGTGCATGTCAGTGCCATCAGAAAACATCAGATTCTGCCATAGTAACTACTGAAGACGATTATTTTCAATTTGAACAAGCTCTTCAACAAAGTCGCGAGGAAGAAGAACAAAAAAATTCAATAAATAATAATCGTCTCTTACAAACATTAAAACGTCAACATCAAGAACTACTAAATTTTTATCAAAAACAATTAAATACAAATAAAGTTGATCGAGAACAACAAACAGTTCAAATCAATCAGCATGATTCACAAGTACAAACTGATTTGACAACAAATCAACAACAAATTCCTAAACCCAATGTTGCCTTTCAAGTAACATAAAATTTATATTTCTTTTAAAATAATCTACTGATTTGTTTTTGTTTATTTCTGAGAAGTTTAATGGAACAACTCCATTGGTGCCTGCGAGAATGTTATCTACACCAATTATGCGTCCTTATTCCAGTTTTATTACTCCGATTCGAACAACAGGTCCTTCGCTACAACAATTAATACCTTGTTTATCAACTATTGGCCTAGCAACAGGAATGACATTAACAAATAAAAAGGTAATAACAAACACAATAATTCATACTCAACCTCCACCACTTCTGACAAAATCACATGATATTGTCGATTTAACAGAAGAAGAAGAAGATTATTCAAATAGATTATCAAAAGAAAAAACTCCATCTACAAGATCAGTTAGTATATATGATTTTCTTTTTTCTTCTCATTGTTTATTTATTGTGTATTTTTCTCAGGAGCACAGTGCAACACCACCATCAACAGCTGCGTCTGCTCGTACTCGTATAGAACCAACAATTCGTCCGACTAATTCTCTTGTACTTAGCCAGGTAAATAATACTATGCATTCAAAAAAACAAAAATAAGTAATTTCTCTCGTGAGTTAATCAGACTAGACATTTTCGATGCTCATTTTTAGACATTTCTTCCTCGTCCATTAGCTGAACATAATCCATGCGATTATAGTATTGCTCGACCTCAATTGAGTATTGCACACGATAATACAACATTGCGATTAACTTGGAATTTAGCAGCAACACCAATGGAATCAATACAAAACTATGAAATCTATGCATATAAACAAAATGCAACCACATTATCGTCGGGCTGGAAAAAAGTATGCATAATGGTTTTTTAATGAACTTGTTATTCTCATTTTGTTTTTCGACTTTTATTTAAGATCGGATCAGTGAACTCAATGCGTTTACCAATGGTAGTAACTCTAAAAGAATTTCAATGCAATTGTCATTATGCATTTGCTGTTCGAGGAGTATCAATTAATAATACTATTGGCCCTTTTTGTGAACCAAAAACAGTCTTTACAGGAAATACACCATTTGGCCCTCTTAATACCAATCAACTACTTAATGTAACATTGTAAAATTGTGTAATTATATCTTAATTTGTTGGTTTCTCTAACAGATGTCGAATCTCTTTCATTTGTGCATGCAACACAAATATATTTACCTTCTGATAAATAAATTTATCTGCAATTAGAAAACAGAACTCAATAACTAGCGCGAAAATTAAACGCCATATAGTTCATATAGAACTAGTTGAAGATGTCACTAGTTCTATTCTCCTCAAAAAAAAATCATTGGTGTACTTGTTACTCACTATCTAACCTTCGATTGTTTCTCTTTTATAAATTGCATTACATAGTAATTTTTCTCATAAAATATGGTCATGGAGAGCGAACCGTCAGCAGTTCGTCTTAGACGAAAACTCACTGAACTATCCAGTGAATATTCAACTGAAAAACAAGTTCATACACGCAGTAAATCAGCTAATAGTCGAGCTCCAACATCAGATCCAAATGGTAGTCTTCGCTATCGACGAATGAGACGAAAAGTATTTTATTATCTCAACGTTTTTTGAAACGAAAGTATGCTTTTCTTTTTTTTTTTGATTAGGTTGATGCACTTCGTACACAAATAGATGCGGCCTTACATGATAATTATCTTACAACATCAGCATTAGTAAGCTATTATTGAAAATTCACAACAAAATCCCGTCTCTATTCTATTCAATAGAATTCTCCTACGGATATGATTCCAACACGTGATGATGATTCAACATTAAAGAAGAAGAACGATGAACAAAACCTTGTTACAAGTGAACTTATTCAAGTGCTCAATAGTAAACAAACAAAAATCGATGAACTGGAACAACAATTGAAGGGCATCGAACAACAAGAATCGCAATGGAAGGTTAGTAGTGCAAGGACGTATTTAATTCAATAACATGAAGACTTTCGTTTTATTAATTGAAGACAAAATACGAACGAGAATGTCGTCGACGTGAAATTGTACAACAAAAATTAATTGAACTTGAGAAAGAATTACAAAATAGACAACGACAATCAAAACTTCTTTTTCAACTTCAAACTGATATCGAACAACTTCATTTAGCTTTTAATGCTCTAGAAGTAAATTGAATTTTATTTTTATTATTAGTAATTTTTTGATTTTACTAGACTGAAAATTCTCAACTCAATGCTGAATTATCTTTTTTTCGTACTAATCGTCCTCAATCCACTCGTCTTTCATCTCAAATAGATCAATTTCGACATGGTCAGTAAGAAGAAAGGAAACATGAAACGAATTAAACTATTGTTTTTTTCCCTCTCTAGAAATAGGACAAACATGTCATGAATCGATGTGTTAAATCAGATACATAGCGGCTATATCAAATATTTTCTTATCGATATAAATCGAAATATTGTGTCTTTCGCGCATATCATTAAAACTTCTTCTTTTTTTTTATAGCGAGTTATTGTTTTGTGTATAAATAATTATATAATATCGTTTTCCTTTCTTTATGTTTTATTATTATTATTGATTCTTTATTTAAAAAAAACACACAATACTGTAACATAATCCATCTATGATATGATAATGAATAATTGTGATAAACAATGACTATTTCTTTTTTTAATGCTGAAAAAAAACAGAATATACAAGTTTCAAAGACTCTTATCGCACTATGAATTGATTCGTCAATAAAGACAACGGTGAAAGATTGAGTAAACATTTACTGCTTATCTATTATGAAACTAATCTGTGTTTTTGCTACTACAGTCGAATTTAAAAGGGTCTGTCGGAGATTTGTTATCTCGTTTAAAATAAAACATAAACATTTGTTTGAGCAAAAGTAAAACTAATGAAATCTATTCAAGGTCTAAACAATAGAAAGGTTCTCATTATTACCAAGAAGACGGAAAAAATCAATTTAATAGATGCAAATTATATATTTCATTAGCACTTTTCTTCTCTCGTATACTCGTATTTATCTTGAATAGAATTCTACAAGAATATATCTTGTGTAAATACCAAATATTAGTTTCTGTCAATCACACGCATATTGTCAGTCAATTAATAAAATATGTGTCGATAGCAATCGTTGAGTAACGTTTGATAAAATCAAAAATGTTGAATCACATGAATACTAATCATGTACGTTACATAAACAAGGACATCAATTTGCGTCCTTCTATCAGTAGTTTTCGTTTTAATATAATGATAACTTACATTCCCGTTCATTCACATTCAAGAATACTAGAGTTGCATTGATGAATAGGTAATTCGAGACCAAATAAAAAAAAGCCTACAATCATTAATAGTATCAAATTACGAACGGTCTTTCTTGTCTGGATGCTGCATTGTTTTATTCTTAGAAAAAGAAATATTTTTTTTGTCTTATGAGACATTGAATGACACCTGAATAATTTTATGTTCAACTGTCTACGTAACATTGGTTTGGGTGTGGAATGCTCTTCATTAGCACTGTAAGCTAACTGAAATACGATCTTTTTTCGTCATGCTCATCTAGAATTGCAACTGAATTTTTACATGGTTGTACATGCACCCGTCTCCAACAAAAAGTAAGCATCAGAGCTTTGAAGTTCTTCTATCGTAAGTTTTAGTCTTAGATAAATAACCATGGGAAGAAGAAGAATTCAATTCACCCGACTGTATGAACAGTGTTGAATCGATTTCTATGCATCATTTTATTAACTCTGCGATATCAATCATGTATTGCACAAAAAAGAATGGGGAAACAATCCGATGGTATCAATGATTGAGGAGTTTCAACTTACCAATTCAGCTTAAACGAAAAGGGTTCTTTTCATTTTAGATTTATTATTTATGCATTTGATATAAATAAGAAGTCAGTCGAAAATACACGAATATTTTTAGAAAAAATAAACATTCGCATGTACTATAATTAGACAAGTTTCTTATCAAACTTCAAACTTAAGATTATGCCAATAAAGAAAATTTTAGCATCCAGTCAGTGTCAGAAGAGTGTACATGGGCGTTTATATGAAATTTGTCTGTTGATGGATTGGTAGATACATATTGTTGTTGTTTTGATAAGAACTTAATCTTTCCTTTTTGTCTTCGTCTACTTCAACAAAAATAACTGAATTGATGAATTTTTTTTACCAGAACGAGAAAATAAACAATGCGAGAAGCGAACGAAAATGGCAAAGAATAATACTACAAGAAATGGCATTGCTCTTTGTGAAGAAACCTACTGATTGTTTTGTCTTCTAACAAGTGGAATTCATATACACTAAACGGCTCTTTCTTTATATTATCTACAAATATGAACATTCATCAGTAATGTGATTTTTACATAAGCTTTTCTAGAAATGTTTTCTTAGTCAATGAAAATGTTCTGAAGACAATTTTTCAGATTTGAAAGGCTGCGTCAGGATGTATTAGTGATTTTTTTCAACGTGATGATTTATCTCACTCGTTAATACTCTGTCTGTTATCATTATTAGCTGCTGTAAACATTGAGTTATGAAAGTCGAAGACAACGTTTATTTTGAATTCATTATAACTCTCTTGATATTCTCCGATAGTATCATGTTTGTCACTGAATTCAACCATGCATTGTAATAGTATTCTAACTTCATATTTTATGTTCGTCCTTTAACGATGATTTTTTTTCTTTGTCAATACATTTGTTTTCCTTTCGCTGAAAAATAACTTCAAAATAGAAGTCTGCGAGTGATCAAGTTTTTTAATCATATTATGCATTAATAAAATTTACTGTGCTCGTCATACCTCGTAGGGAAATAATCTTAACAGTCTTTATAAGTAAAAAGAAAATCCTAGTTTATATTATGATCTCAACTAAAATTTAGCGACTGTAGCACAGGACGAAAAATACTTGGAGTATTTTTTTCGGACACATCGAAGAAGTTCATCAATTCATAGTCGTCGTTAGAATATTGAAAGAAGTGCTTTCATTACATGCAACATCAAGGTTGATCCAGCCTCAATTGGAAAGAATCGCGAAATCAGAATTGCTAAATCTAAGATGGTTTTAAAATTAAAAGAAAGCCCGTTCATATATTGTAAAGAAATAAAAAAGACTGTAATACTTTAAGCCCCTATACTCAGTTTGATCAGTTATTTTATCTATGTAGACTTTTTCTCTCACTTATTTTTTGCTACTTTTTCTTAACATCATAAATTAAAGATTGATGTGATAAAGAAAACGCTCAAGTTGCGTGCTATATGCTATTACTTAATGGATGATCATTTAGAAAAGTTATTTGTTTTGTTTGTTATATCTAATACGTTCAGAATAAAAAATCATTAATTCGAGAAGTCGTAGATATTGTTTTTCTTTCTACTCAAAAAGAGAAAAATAAACAATGCACCAGACGAGATATCCATGGCCGTACCATTCAAGTTCTTTTACAGATGAAAAACAATTGAAAGTTGGAATGAATATTAATACAAGAAATGACGATGTTGGAGTTTTTTCTTGTTCTTTTGTTTACTGATCACTGTATTTTCAACTGTGAATATAAATGTAGCTTTTTTTGCGGCTGTGAACAAAAAAACAAAACACTTATTATTCAATGCATAGAAAATAAAATCAAGAGAAAAAAGAAGCGGTCTCGACTGTAGAAATAGAAATAGTAACTATTATCTAAATACCAACAACTCGTTTACAATTCTCGACTTTAACCAAGCAAAAACGCCGATACTCAATATGAGTGAACAGAAAAACAAGTCAACTGTTTCGAAACCAACAGTTGCTGCTGTAAATAGAATATCAACATCAAATACCATGCGAATAGCACATTTCATCGCCCAGAATTATTTAGTCATTTGGGTCGATGGTAACATCGATGAAAATAATGAAGATTGTCGAAACACGCTGAAACAATTACGCGTGGTGGTGAGCGAGGTGAATATTTGTATGACACAGGAACAGTGCGTCGAATTTCTCAATGAGATCGATGATGGAAAAATCTTCATTATTTCATCGGGAGCACTGGGTCAGCACCTCGTCTCCTGCATTCATAGCATGACACAAGTGCATGCGATTTACATCTTTTGTGGTAATGAGGCACGCCATCAATCATGGGCAAAAGAATGGTCTAAAATTCGAGGTGTTTTCACCTCAATCAAGCCAATATGCGAATCGCTCAGAAAGGTCGCCCGTGAGTGCGACCATGATACAATTCCGATGAGCTTTGTTTCGAAGCAAACAATAGCAGAAGGGGCAGCAGATTCGAATAAAACAACACGTGATCAATTACCGCCATCATACATGTACTCGGTGATTTTCAAGGATATCATATTAGAAATTGAGGACGATGTCGCTAAATCTATAAACACTTTATTGGTCTTTTGTCGACAAAAAGATATTCCTGAATCAGAACTAGACCATTTCCAGCGTGTGTATAAGCAGAAGTCTCCAATTTGGTGGTATACAAACGAAATGTTTCTCTACGGTATGCTTAATTGCGCCCTACGGTCTCTTGATATGGAAGCGATGACAAAATTAGGATTTTTTATTCGAAGTCTTCATCTTCAACTGGAGCAATTGCATCAGGAGCAGTCGGCCAATTTCCAGAAATCATTTACTGTTTATCGTGGTCAGGGATTCAGTCAACGAGACTTTCAAAATCTAATTGATTCAAAAGGTGGACTCCTTTCATTCAACAACTTCTTATCAACTAGCAAGAAAAGAGATGTGGCCACAGTATTTATTCAAGAGACCCTTCGAAAAAATCAAGATACTGTTGGTGTTATGTTTATTATGACAATAGATCGAAGAAAAATAGCAAACTCGATCAATCCATTTGCAATGATTGATGATTACAGTGCTCTTCCGCAAGAACAAGAAATACTTTTTACAATGCACACCGTTTTCCGTGTCGTTGATATTAAACAGGCGGCTAAGAATAGTCGTCTTTGGGAAGTACAATTAAGTATTACTGATGAGATTGATCCACAACTTTCTGCTCTTACCAATCGCATCAAAGAGGAGATTCACGGTGAAGGATGGTATCGAATGGGTCAATTGATGCTCAAAATGGGTCATCTTGATCAAGCTGAAGAACTGTACAGTAAATTACTCGAGAATTCTTCGAGTGGCAATGAAACAGCATATATCTATCATCAGCTTGGATGGATAAAAGACGATCAAGGAAAATATGAAGAAGCAGCTAAATTCTACAGAAAGTCACTCAGAATAAACGAAAAACTTCTGTCAGCAGATGATCCAAAATTGTCTGCTATGTACAGTAACATTGGACAAGTGTATTGCAACATGGGTGACTACTCGCTAGCACTTGAATTTTACGAAAAATCACATAGAATCTTTGAAAAAGCTCTGCCATCGAATCATCCTAATTTGGCTACATCCTACAACAACATCGCTGGAGTGTATTACAACATGAACGATTACTCGAAAGCACTTAAATTTTACGAAAAGTCACTCAAAATAAGAGAAAAGGCTCTGCTTCCGACTCATCCCCATTTGGCTAGCTCCTACAGCAACATTGGTCTACTCTATGAAAAAATGGGTGAATATTCAAAAGCATTTTTCTATCTGGAAAAGGCACTGACTATTTTTCGAAAGTCACTTCCGTCAACACATCCACATATTATAACTGCAATGAATAGTATCGATCGTGTGAATAAAAAGCGATGAATATATGTTTTTTCATATTTGCTCAATACAATCGATTTGATAACTGTTGACTATTTATTATTCGCGGGAGACCAGGAGGTTACCTCTCTCCATTGTTTTGAAACTAACACGCATTGAGTGGGCTGTAACCGTTTTCTCATCGTTACAGCTCACTTCATATAAATTACTTTATTCTCTTCGCTATACTCTTATGCTCGTGCATTGACCTTATGAAATCTCTTATTGTTCTATGGTGTGATCGTTAGCTCCTTGTTTCTATCCACTCATGCGTGATCACCCTCGTATATAATGGAATATACCTGAAAGACATGTACGACTAGAGGTGTGCAGATGATACAATACACTAACATGGCAACGGGCATAGGCGACACCTTCTATGTTCGTTACATAAACCACAGCAGACTGGTAGAACAATGTACGTAGGGATCACGTACAAATACGATGACAATGACCAAATGTACATAAAAGGCCTTCCTAGTTCTACACTATTTTGCCATTTTTAGTAATAATGAGAGACTCTCTGTTGTTTTTTTAGTAAAAGATAAACTTGAACTTTTAATATTCCTCGCGGAATAAAATTATTTTATAGTTTTAAGTTTTTATTTATAATTGTTTTTAATTGCGTCGAATCGGTGCCTGGACAAATCAAAAGAAAAAGAAAAAAATTGTAAGTAGGTAGTTATTGAATTTATTTAAGAAAAACAAATGATGATTGCATTGTAAGTAATCCCACATAAATATATATGCTTGTGCTAACGAATTAAGTAGAGATAGCTAACCTAGAACTTTCTAATTTTGGAAATCGGCTTGTTAGAAATATTAAATCGCGCTAATTGAAATAAAAATTTGACCTTAAAAGTCTTAGTAGAATGAAAATAAAAAAATTGCTTTTCCTTGCTCAGTATTATGGATTATTCGTCTATCCGTAGTAACTGCCATATGTTTATATATCAATTGCTATTTGAGTCTTGAGAAAATGTATCCAGCTAGAACACTTGATTTAAACTTGACCGTGACTAGTACATGTAAAGCGAATAATAGTCTAAATAAACATGAAGTTACACGATTTCGATTTACTCAACTGATGTCAAACCTATACTAATATCTGTGTTTCGCTGTCAGTCACTCAAATTTCGCTTTGGTGATCATGTAGAACAGGAATCAACATTGATTCTTTAAGATTTTTTGAAATGTAAGCTTTTTCTAAAATAATAAACAATTTCAATCAAGTAGCTATATTTTATCAGTCTTCAAAAAAATTATAGATTCTATTAAAACTGTATAGAATGTGGTATAGAGTGGCATTTCTCATACATTTCATCGATCATCAATTTCAATCATTTTAGAAACATGTTTATAACCCAGGTCGATCAACTTATGTCGTACACGGCCGTTTGACCACAATTTACGGCCGTTTGCTATGCACCGTATTACGGTCGTTTGGCATCGTGCCATAAACGATCGGATACGGTCGGATACTGCAATATCCGACCACATTACGGCCGTTAGTAATCGTTTACGACACGGCGAAATACGGCCGTAACACGGTGCATGCCAAAACGTCGAATTACGGCGATTTACGGTCGGAAACGTTATAAAACGGTAGTAAACGTTGCCGTATACGGCCGTTTACGATCGTATCAGGTGACCGTAATGTTCGACCTGGGAAGATTTCAAAACAACATTTATTATCGCATTTGGAAAACATCCTTTGATTAAATTTGCGCAATCTTATTTTGATTACTATGAAAAGAAAGAAAATTGTATTACTGGTCATATCTCTATCTGTGCATTCGTTAATTGAAATGACCGCCGCCTGATTACATAACGCAAACAGGCGGTATTCATAAACGCACACACCCACACCCTATATATATTTATATGACAATTTGCATTGTTCATTCTAAGACAAACATCATATTCAACCCTTTTCCTCCATTGACAAGCAATAACACATATTATCAATGGTAAAATACGTGACGCACAAATGAAACGTCATCTAATGTTTTGCTTTATTCCGATCAATCAAAATTCATTTAAAAGATTATATTATATGAACATGACATCATTATTGCATAACTTCCTAATTTTTTACAATACATATCAATTCAATATATCATACATTTTTGCTTTTATATGTGAGATTATTAATTAATATCAATTTTCTTTCAAATAAAAAAGATTATTCATATCCAACAGAAACATTTTTCATTTATCGTTATACTAACTATTACAAAAATCAGTGCATTCTTCAGTTTGTCTTATATATTCGTATCCTTTCGTCCAAGAAAAAAAAATAAATACTTCTATATCAAAGATAATAATTTATTTACGTCGATGTTTTTTGTCAGTTAATGCTTAGAAATGATTTCTAAATCGAATATCAATATCTATTCTTTATAACACTTTAATATTGAATAAGAATTACGATGTTCAGAATATTTGACATTCAAATTACAAAATTCAATTTAAAAATAAATAAGTACTTGATATTATTGTGCTATATAACTCGTTGTCTATTCCCGTAGAAAGAGCAAGGGGTGGGAAAGGGTGGATAAAAGATTAACAATTAGCAATAAAGAAAAAACAGTTGAATAAGATTGTTGTTTAATAAAATTGGATATAAGCAACGCGCACCTTTTAAAGATTGTTTACGGCAGTAAATTGCACGGCAGTAAATCGATGAAACGGCTCTGAATTTTCAACTCTCATATATTGATCGGAACTAGTCGTAGTTTGTCTTCAAATGTACTATACGCACCCTCATCTTCACCCTCATTTAGTACTTAGCTGCGTTTAGCATAATGAAATGCTATTCTTGTATGAGAATAGTATATTTATTGTACATTGCAGCTTGGATCCAGAATACACCTGATGATTAGCCCTTAAGCAAGAGTCGAAACGCGTTGTATCCTGCTGTGGATCAGTTTAAAATGAATTTTACTCACCCTCACCCTCACCGAATTCTTCATGAAGAGCTAAACACAACCCATTATAAACCAACTTATCATCGTCTCGTTACAAAAGCCGCTTCTATTTTATACTTGTTTTGTGGTTGCTTTAACTCACCTTTATTAAGGTTGCTTATGAGATATCTATTAGATCACAATAGATGTCTTATATTGTAACGATTGTACTGATAGTTTCGAGCATCATTCGTACTACATTACTGCCACTTGACCATTTTTGTAAGCGGAAATGAAAAACGTTTCTACTAGTTGTTTTGTGGTTGCTTTAATTCATCCTCATCCTTTTCACGACAATTACAACAAATCAATTTTCCGTATGAATTTCGCATGCGAAATGAGTCGAGGAACGTTATGGCATGTGTCACAGTTATATATCGGAAGTCAGCCTTGGCGCAGAAATTTATACCCCTTACTTCGAAACAAGTATCACATTTACTTTTCATATTAGACAAGGACGATCTTCGAAAAAGAAATTTATGCTGTGCATCACTAATCGATGTTGAAAAAAACGAATCAGCTTTCAGAAGAAGAACTTCTAAGATGTTCGTAGCTTTAGGAAAACATTTTGATTTTATTTTCTCCTAGGATAATTCCGATAGAGGCAACCATGACGTAGTTTCCGAGCAATTGACTTCATCATACGACTAAGCAAAAATACATTTAGCAGTACTCATCTTCACAAAAACTAACGCGCTTAGCTGTAAATTGATAAATTATTTTTATAACAGTTCGAATAATGGAATAGTTGGCCAATCAAATGGATGTTTTCAAAACAATATTTCAAATGAAAATCTAGCACTTTTGATGCTTTTATTTTTAAAATTTAAACCGCCAAGCACTATAACTGGCTGTTCATCATCTAAAAATCAATGATTCTTGCACGAGATGACACTAGTTGTCGCATCGAAAAATACTGATTCTTCTCTCATGGCATGAGATCATGATCCGTCTTAGCCTCGTTGATTCACATTTTAGAACCATCTTTATCTTACTAAAGCTTCATTTTTTGTTGCAAAAAAAAACTAAAAAAGCAAATGCTTTCTGTATTGGAGAGCGGTCGAGTGGCTAAGAAAGCCAACCTCCTTGTGCATCGATTAGAAACCTTTTGTTGAATCCTGATTATGCCATTTTGTAGAGCATCACAAACTGTCTCTTCTGTAAGAAATTCATTCTGGGTTCACGCACCATATCTGAGCAATCATAGATCCAATATTGACGGCAAGCCTTTTTTTGCAAAAAAGTCATGACTGTCGAAAAGTATTTGGTTCAGAAATTTTGAGTTTATAATAATAAAGATTACTGATATGTGGTTTTCTTCAGCTTTGGATGAGCTATCGAATGGTATACGACATTAAATCGTTTAGTACTCATTTACTTCTTTGCCATGATCATGATTATATACGTGTCGTTTGACGGTATTTGCAAAAAAAAGGTCAAAAATACCTCATCATACTAACCATATTATTTTTTCTACGGATTGAGCTCAGAGGCTAAAAATTTAGATCTGGAGGTTTTCAATGATGCTGAACACGATGAGAATATCAAATCAAAGAAAACAAATTTTGACGAGTGCTTGGATACATGGATGCATACTCGATTTTCTCATGGACGCTCTCTTAAGTATCGTTGGATTTAGTCATCGTGCTCCCGGAAAGACTAATATGAATTAAAATGTAGTAATATGTTATCGAAGGAACATCCACAATAATCAGACGTCACTGGGTAGTTGTACTCTTTATTCGCAACAATGAAAGCAATGATTGATAAAAAAAATGTAGATATATCAATCTAGCCTGATCTTTCAGTGATTTGTACTTCAACACCAGGCGATGTGGTTGATTCAGGACATATCGCAACGAGTTCTGGTGCTTTGTAAACGTATTGTTTATAGCCATTACAATTAGGTACTATAAGCGAGCAGCGTTGTTGAGGTTCTGCATCCTGCATTTGAAGACAATCATGGTCGATGAAGAAACCGTCACTTTTACTCAGAGATGCTGCCATTGTTAGACTACCGCGTGTACCATTTGGAAGTGTTATATTTGCATACCATAATCCAACAGTCTTACTTCCTATCGAACCATCTCCGAATTGCACCAAAAAAAAACTATCATCCAAGAAGGAAATGTAGATAATTGTGGACATGTCGAGTTATCCGCTGGGACGAGTATGAAGAGAGCGTTAAAACAGAGCAATACGATCGTATACTTGTTCATTGTCTAGAAAGATTCTTAATTTCTAACATTAAAATCGAATTTCACTCGGTTAGACTCTTATCTTTGAGCTCAGCTATCAGATAACAAAAAGAGACATGTGACAATAACTGATGAGTGAGAATAGATATCCTTTTACTTACATTGGATGCGCAGCAGATTATGTTTACTCTGTGACTAAAACTGGCAGAGTCGTATTATATTTGATGCTTAAGAAGTATCGTTGTTTACGTGCATAAAAATAATTGAATGAATAACACGGGGAAAAGCGCAAAATTCAGCGACCATAGAATCAGATACAAGACCAAAATTTTGTCACATTAGCGTATTTATTTTTACAATAAATCAACGATTTCTGGAACAATCGGACGAGATCTTGAATTTGATCTTTTAGTTTTCTGACAAACTATGTCAAAATTTAATCAAGTATATTCAAGTGAATTTCACACGATATCATGGATCGAATCTGCCTTTACACAAGGAACTTCATTATCTTAAAAACATGATGATTTTGTTAGTGGAGACGAGTTTTTTTCCTCCTCTGCAACACATTTATTTCACAGACATTTCTTCTTGTCCCTTCGTTCACATAACTTTCTGTGTCTCGTCATTTCATGTTCTCTTTTCGAGAAAGGATGCTATCTACGATACGATTCTTTCTCCCTTTTCCTTTTTTTTTATATATCTGTAAGTGTTTGATTCAGTTGCACCTGTCGCAAAGGTTTCAGCCTCCACAGGAGCCGACCCTGGGCTACTGGTAGTCACTCCTTTGTTTATGAGGCTGGCACTCTCTAGCTGAATACAAAACTAATATCGCTAACGAAAATAAATATGTCTTCTTTGGAGGGTGGACCAATAGATCTTGTGTAAAACAATCAAAAAAGTATCGAATTCAAATAGCCACACTAAGTGAAACGTGTATGTACGATTCTGGTATAAAATCAGTAAGCGATTACACGATGATATATTCAGGAGCACCACATGAAACGAAAACACGAAAAGCTCATAGAGTGGCAATCTGCCTAAATCAAACAGCCATAAAGATCTGAAAGAGTTCAGGGAGCGAATAGATGCCTATCAGCGAAAAAAATCATCAAAATTCGACTGTACTGTGCACCAATTCACGTTACTATTCTTAAAGTCTACTCTGTAACGAAATATCTTTTTATCATTATTTTGTTAGAGCAACAGGAGAAGCATATTAATGTTCGATTTCTTTTCGTCGTGATGCTTATTTGATTATTCTCTACTCCCACTGCTAAAGATTCATGCATAACACGCGGACATTTATACGAGCAGTGAATAACGAGAGAACAGGAAAGAAAAGTTACATCTTGATAGAAAGATATACTAGTCTGTTATCCTTGACAGTTATTGAAACTGTATACATTCGAAATCACTGTCATCCATTCGGAATGACAGATCACTATGATTGACAAACTAAGAGACGATCGTTTCATTGTCACAGTAGGTTCGAGTCGTGCTCTGATTTTATGATCTTTTTGAATAAGTTTCTCGTACTTATTTGGACATATCTCTGTGGATACATCTTATAATTAATACTATTTTTCCGTTGTTAAATAAAACATTTACTAAATCTTTTACAAAATCTTTACTATTTCTACCCTATACTCACCCACACCCTCAAGATGAACTCTTTCGATATCTACAAATTATTAATAATCTGGTATTGAAAAAACCTTCAATAACAATAAAGAATAATTCCCTCTATAATTTTTATTTTGTCACTTCTCCGAGCTTTTCCGCTCTTTTAAAGATAAGCATTAAAACGGAAAATGAAAATGCATTATTTAGGATTTTTGTGACAGTTTTTCATCATTTTTATTGTTGCATCTTAGACCATTTTAATATCAGCTTATCATTTTTGTTTCTAGCTGGGAAGAACATTTTATGGTTTTGTAGTTGCATTTTTTGGAACTTCAATAGCTGTTGATTCGTATCTTCCAATTTCATCTCCGTTGCCATCGTACTTGATTTTTGCACAACGGCAAGACATTGCTGCTTGTGGATAATAAGGATATCCTGTCTGCATATTGAACTCGGCTGAGGATTCTATATTGAAATGCAGTCCAATAGCTGTCCCTGAATAAACGTCAGTAGGTGAAGCTGTCCAAACCCCTGAGATATTAAATCTTAATCTCAGAGGTCCGTCAGCTGTAGTCATGGTTAGATCTTTCCCTCCTTGAAAGCCTCGAATCCCGTTATTTGGATAACTGCCAATTTTATATCTACTATTGTTGAAAACAAACCCAAATCTGGTGGCAGGATAGTTAGAAATTGCAGATCTGCTTCCCGGATAGAATTTATTTGCAGGTGAATAAGCATCTCTTTTAGCATGGTGTACACTTGAAGGTGCTAATCCGTATTGTCCTGTACCTGAAGCCTGGTAACCATTATAATACCAAGGATTGCTTCCGTGAGATAATGGCCAGTAAGAATAGAAATTGCTTAACGGAGGCAGCGTACTGTGCATGCTTGCATAGAAAGCATCAGGTATTCTCCATCCTTCAGGACATGGGTCAAAAGGTGATTTTTCTGTACCGTGTCCCCATCTGTCTGTAAACTGGCCATTTTCATCAGATACCCAATCTCGGACTTTTTTAAACTGGTTTGTTTCCGTAGAAGGATTTTGGTATAAGAAGTATAGCGGATTGTTTATAGAATACATCAATACTTTCTTAATTTTATCCTTCTTAGAATCTGTAGATGAAAACACTGAAGAATAATCTGTTGAAAATTCTTTAGAGTAATTGGTCATATAATTAGTGTTGTCAATAGCTCCTGAATAAGGAATTACCCCATTACTGATGGGTCCGTTTTGCATACGGATTGTATATTTGTTCAAGTTTTTATAAATGCTTCCTTGGGTGCCTACGGCTGTTCCAAAATCATAATGGCCTCCAGCATTGAAGAAAACAGGGAGAGGATCCTTTCTTCCCCATTGGAAATGTAGCCCTCCACTTTTACTGATTTGAGGGATGAAGCTGTAAATATATGATGCACCACCTGCATAAGCTTCTTCTGGGAACATCATTAAAGCTCCCAGATCTCTGTCCATAAAGGTGGTTTTCAACGGAGCTCCAATACTTCTCACAGGATTTACAAATGCTGAATTGAAAACATTTACAATGCCTCCGTTTGCTGAGGTTTCCGTTTCGTAATCTAATGAACCAACTATTGTTTCAGGAGCCCAGACATGCCAGCTCCAGATAATAGGATCTTGCATTTTTCCATTTGCCCACTGACCGGAGTTTCCTAAGTGGAAAGCTACCACAGCATTACCGTATTGATTTTCATTTAAAGTAACTCTAAGTTTAGCCATTTCCTTAGTTCCATCGATTATTTCCATGTTCTGGATCAAACCTGTATTGGTAGTCCATACTACAGAGCTTGATTTGACACTTCCCTGTGGATATTCCTCTGTTGTACTTAGATGTAATTTATACATTGCATACGCCTTACGTAAAGGAATATCAATAACGCGGTCTTTATCTGCCGGACTTGCTGCTGCCATTGAGCTGTTAGTATATTCTACATAGCTGTTCGGATCTTTTGCCCAGCTTTTCAAAGTTGCTAATGAATATTCTTCATTTGGTGTGCTGATGAATTGCGTTTCAAAAACAGCAGGCATATAAGCGTTATTAGGATCCTTAATACATCTTATCCCAGCTGTTTCATGAGTATTGCCATCATGAGAAACGGAATTCATTGTGTACCATCCGAAATTATTTGCTGTTTCTTTTACGTTTCCAGGATCTGAAATATAACCAAGTCCTCTCGGTCCATACCACGGCCCGCTTCCGGATGCTCCCACTGAGAACGTAGATGAGCCCAAGGCGCCGTCTGATGAACCATCCTGATATACGATCTTAGGTGTAACTAATCCGGATGTTGTTACCCTATTAATAGTTACATAATTAGGGTAATATTCATAGTTTCCATTGATAGGAATCAGCCCTAAGTTACGGCCAGAAACTCCTGTAAAATCGTAACCCAATCCAGGATATATCTTTATTCCTGGGAATCTAGTACTTGAAGTTGCCGGATTAGATGTGAAAGTATCTACATCATTAGCCCCGCCGATTCTTCCCCAAGGCGAAGCATTATTGTCATTATTAGGGCTGCCGATATTGTCATAATATGATGGAGTTCTCCAGTTGCATGGACAAGGGTCATAAGGTGATTTCATTGCGTAACGCTTACTTTCTTCTGCTAATGCAGGGTAATTTAAGTCACTTATTTTGCCTCCTCGTGTATCTCCCCAAAGATCCCAGGCAACATTTTTTGAAGCATCTGTGCTGAATTCGTTTCTGTATTTCTGTTTAGAGAACCATGTCGTACGTCTTTGGTGATACCATACATTGCCACTGTTTTGAACAAACATATCTTCTTCATTATTATTCACCGTCTCATTATATTTTTTAACATAAAGCGGCGGAATGATCATGTGAATTGGATTTTGAACAGAATAACGAATATTTCCATTTGGCGTATCAAATCCTGTATTGTCTTGCGGATATAAGTTTCCTCTGTATTTTACAGGCAATACGGAAGTAGATCCTGTGGTATAAACGGCTCCTACATTTCTCATGTTTCCAACTTCTCCTGAAATCTCATACATTGTGCCATCTTTGTGTGCAAGAGCAGGAAAAGGGTCTTTTCTTCCCCATTGGTATTGCAATCCCTGAGATTTATGCCAATCATTACCCAGGAAGTTCGCGCTTGTTGCCCCAAGGTTTCTGTCCATCCATTTCCAATCTGTGACAGGGAGTCCGTTTTTATCTTTTTCGAAACCAAGATGATAGGTGCTTCCGTTTGTAGTTGGGTCATCTGTTATCCAAACGTGCCATGTCCAATAAACTGTATCGTTTACTCTATATGAAACTACTGCGTTTCCTTCTTTAAGCTTATTAACTAAAACTTTAATTTTAGCATTTTCACCTGTTCCTTGTAAAGCGACAGATTTAATTAGTCCTGGCTCGTCTTCCCAATATAATCCTGCTTTAGCTGTTCCTGATGGAATTGGAGTGTAATTTCCATGATCATCTTTCATGAACTCACCTCCTTTAGACCACATTTCATAGGCTTTTTTTACAGGAATGTAAAGACCGTCAACTTCGCTGCCGTGTTTATCTTTCCCTGTGAAAATATAGGTGTTCGGTGCTTTTGTCCAATCTACTACAACGTAATCTGGAACGGCTCCAGGATTTGCTGCAAAACATCCTGCGGCACATTCTGAAGTGTCATCATAGGCAATGCTATTTCCGAAGATGCCGGTATATCTGATGAACTTAGAGATTTCTTTTTCAATATCCTGCATTGATCGGACAGGTAGGTATGCCGGAGTAAAACTCACAAAGTTATTTCGTAATGTACCCATACCATATAATGTCATTTCAGCAGTATTTGAAATGATAAAGTTTTCAGATCCAGGTCCTCTACGACCACCTCCATGATCATTAGTAAATCCAAAATATAACGCACCGTAGTTGCTATAACCTGTAAGGTTTATAAAAGTTCCGTCGCTTTTATAAACCCTGAAGCCTGTGGTCATACTGGATACGAATACTACAGGTTCTTGATCGCTGATAAAGTCTGATAATTTTTCATTTATACTGTTATATAAATTGAAATATCTGCTCTGGAGCCTGTTAGGATTTTTAAAGTTATGATATCCGGGACCGTTTGGCTCACCAGGCCACTGGCTGAATTTTATGAAAAACCCGTTCACTGAAAATTTGCCCGCGAACATATACACTGGATCGGCATAACTGTATAAATACGGAATTGGATGTCCCGGACCTACATTATAAATAAATTCAGGGGTAGAACCCAAAGTGTCATTAACAGCTCCCTGATTGACCATTTTAATGGATATGGCACCATTGGTGTCAGTAAACAATGCCGCCGGGGTTTTAGGTGAGAAGACTACATCATTCTTTTTATTATCCAATGAATATCCAATATTCAGTCTGCTCCAGGAATGAGCGGTTGTCACCCTGTCTTTTACTCCTGTGACTTTTCCATTAGCGTCTATGATCAAAGTGCCATTCTTTTTCGGTGTTAAAAGGATTGTATATTCATTTTCGTCCAGATCACAATTGGTAGCGATGTAGTCACCTAATTTGTAATGGCTGATCGTTTTGTCCCAAGAAACACTGCTAAATGTGGAAAGGTTCGTCTCAGAATCTAATTCGATCTTTACATTGCAAGAGCTCAATGCAGATTCAGGTAACTCGAATGCGGCTCTTACATTTTCGTTATATTGATTGTAAGAATAAAGTGTTTTACACCATCCTGTCGCCCAATTTCCCTGGGCATCCTGATACTTGATAGATAATTTTATATGGTCATCTGTAAAAGGTTTTGTGAGCTTTCCTTCCATAGCAACCAATCCTTTCTGATTCACGTTCTGCTGGATAACAATTTGTGGATCGAGAACATAGACATGAGGATTCAAAAGTTTACCCGTTATTTTGTTCCTTTCTTTTCCCCCGTAATCGTGAACGGCAAATGTCCTGGAACCAGCATGAACAGGCACAACACAAAGCATTGGAGCCAAAATCTTCAAAACAGATTTTTTCTGGCATCCCGCCGACACTGTAAAAAAAGAGGATTTTTAGTAGAAAAGAGGGAAAAAAAAGAGGTTTACAGTTTTCGTCCGAAGAAAACTCGTATGTTATCAATATAGGTTGAATATGGCTTGAAAGAGAAAAACAGAAACGAAGCCTCCAAATTGTACACAGAGATTTTTGTGCAACTGTTTATGTAAGTATTAGACAATGGGAAAACATTAGAAAAGTAGTCTATTCTATTTGGGTAGTATCTGACTATACTATTACTATCTGATTAAGTAGGTATATAGAAGTAGAAACGATCAGAATTCATTAAATGCTCTTTTTTGCTTTTCTTCTCTTTTTCGGATGGTTGCGCATGTGAGAAGGGTTTTTTCCATTTTTTTCAATTTTCGGCAATTCTTCCATGATTTTGATCATTTTTCGCAAGTCAATTTTACTTTTCCGTTTCTCAACGTAAATTAATACATTTGTTGCAAAGGTATCCAGACAGTAGTGTAACGATATCACCAGCTATACATCCCCTTCATACGACTATTCTAACCGTTTCCGTGCATATATCGCCTCCGCATGCATTGGTACTCTTTCGGTTTTGTCCTTAGAAAAAACATTAACAGCTGTATGCGCACTCATATTTCGTCTCATTCTTTCTATGTGTCATAAAGCATTTTTTTTTGTCGTCCTATAAAAAGGAGGAGGAAGATGCATGTGAAGCACGGTTTCTTATATTCGAATAAAAGTATAGACTTATATTCATTCTTCCATTGCACACAGAAATCATCACAGTTCTCTTTATAGTATTTGTTACTCTTCATCAGAATAAAACAGTTATAAGAAAATATCACTTCCAACATCGAGATTTTTGAAGAATGATTTCACAAAAAAATCTTGGAACATTTTGGACGGATAAATGAATTCTCGATGAGTAGAGAAAAACGTCCTTTAGACTCAAAATTTCAGAATGCTTTCCATGTACACGTTAGTTGAGACATCAGAATAGAATAAATCAAAACAAAGTAAAGAGAACATAAATGGATACTTCGGTTACGAAAGTCAAAAAGAGTGGAACTAGGAGCTTAATTGGACTCTTAAAAGTACCGTCTAAATCCAAACTTTTTAATACGTACAAGCACAAATGATCACCGCCAGGATGAGGCCAATCTGAGAAATTAGTTTGTTTTGCATATCGAATCTTTTTTTCGAAACAAATATGAATTCACAATGTGAAAAGATGGGATCCATCTAGTTATATAGCTTTTCTCCTAGTTCCTGCGGAAGTACCATAATCTCTTATTAATTTCGACTTAAGTGTAACCGATATGGTCAATGTGCAACAATAAAATCAGGTTTTTGTTTAAGACCAATTATTACTAATGCACTAGTCATATTATATTTCATTCGATTAAAATTGCTTATTTACAAGATGCAACCGTTTCTTATTTCTAATCTTCACAGCAGTGACCAACTTCCTCGAAAATTAAACTCATGAGGGCTTCAGAAATTAAATTTTAACAGATGATAATATATAGCAATAGCGGGGTGTGGGTGTGGGGTGTATTTTGAGTAGCAACCATTACGCGTTTCGAGCTTGCTTAAGGGTCTCATCGGATGGCTTCTCGAGGGTGGGTGTGGGTGTGTTAAACACTCAATATGAGATAGATGCAAAGCATAACACGACGTTTCGATCTTGCTTAAGGATATCATCAGGCATCTCTAGAATCCCAGAACTACATTATTATACAAGTAACGCGGCGCAAGCACCACTGACCTTCTAGTGAAAGAGTGTGATGTCATTGAGTGTATTGTTTTCAACCAACGAATAAGACCATCGAGTGTTATCATATATACGTAGAGGAGCAAAATTAACGGAACAAACATATATGCATATAATCAAGTTCCTAAAAGCTCTAAGAACTGCAAGCCATTCGTAAAGAAAAAGTTCATACTTCTACTGGTGAGGAATATTTCATAGTCCCAGACAGAGCATTAGTAGTAACTATTTGCTGGTGGAGATGGTGGTGCGAGCGAAGCAGCTCATATGATTAGTAAGATATTTTTCTATTCACGAATTTTGTGACATTGCTCAGCGCTACTTGTTTCACTTCATTTACATATTTATGGTCAAAGGCTATCGGAAGAAACAGAGAACTCCTGTCTAGTGCGTCACTCTGTTTAGCTCAAAGTTGACTTGACAATAAAACAGAAGTTAAGTCAGGTCTATTTTGGCAGCTGAAATTTCTCATAGGTTTACATCAAGTAAAATTATACTTTTTCTTCAAATATGAAAATCCTCTGAGTAATACTTGAACATAACATTAGTCGGCAACAACACTTGAAACGTATTATTTAGACGGTAAAAAAACACCAAAAACAATCAACGCCAAAGCGCAAAAGGTTTTTCTTAGACATTGAACTAAACAATGCGAAAAAAGTAAAATGTTGATAATATTACATCTCCCAAAGATTGTATTAATCATTTTCTTAGGCATGCTAAGAATCATTCAAATGAATTTATTTTAATTGAAACATAGATAACACGTAAATTGTCAAGCGAGTTAGAAAAAAGATTTTGAAAGCATCTGCAATGCCATCATCTATTGAAAGAATACCTTCTGAAAAAGGCACTCTATTTCGACAGCATAGTGCCGAAATCT